ACAGAGGCTATATAATTTTACAATAAGGACTTTCCATCGACTAATAATAATTGAAGGGTCGTTTATGACTAAGCGTAAAACAGAATCGGTACAAATAATTCTGAATACAGTGGCGTAACTTGTAGTACAGATAAAACTTGACTACAACTATGTAACTAATCTAATTAAATCTAGACAGGGATACAAGAAAACGGCCCAACGGATCCGTCTGTTATGTCTCTGGTAAAGCGCTGCGCGCGATTAGCGAGCATGTGACGTCACACCCACGGTAGCTCTCCTGGCAGCATTTTCCCGCCTCGACGAAAGGATTCAAATTGAATTACGAATAACTCGAAAAGTATATGAGTATTTGTTTTCCAATTTTGTACGGTCTTTCAATATGCACAAATTTATAATTTGCAGTAGAAAACTAAATTTTGTTGACAGACCTATTCTCAAGGCAAACCCTGCAGTTGTTTCTTTAAATCGCCTGCCCCCACACACCGACAGATATACGCCAGTTCGTGACTCGCATACAGGTATAGTAGATATATCGTAAATCTATACTCTATACTAATATATAAAATCCTTAAGTGACTGACTGTGTAAGTGACTTATTAATCACGATCCTGCTCAAACCACTCAGCGTAAGAAACTCAATTTTGGCATACAGGTTGATTCTAGGGTGTAGAGGTTCGATAAGAAGGGATTTTTCGAAATTCCAGTTCCAAGAGGGTGAAACCACCCCTCAAATATTAAATATATTTTTTTAAAAAACGGTCAAGTTTCCGAAAAAACGCTTAAACAAGTATATTTTATTTTGTTTTTTTACATATTTTAAGATTTTTTAAAAATATATAGAGGGTGTTTCGAAAAATCTGGTCATTGATTAATCACGATCCCTCCTAAAAAGCTGATTTTTGGAAAACAGATTGACTTTAGGGTGTAGTGGTTCAATAAGAAGGGATTTTTCGAAACTCGAATTCTAAGAGGGTGAAACTATCCCGCAAATATTAAAATATTTTTTATTTAAAAACCGGTGAGTTTTTCGGAGAAACTTTTAAACACATATATTTTATTTTGTTGTTTTACATATTTTAAGATTTTTTATAAATTTATACATGGTGTTTCATAGAATATGACCATTGAGTAATCACGATTCTACTTAAACTACTTGACGTTTAAAGCTGATTTTTGGCAAACGGATTGACTGTGGGGTGTAGAGGTTCGATAAGGAGGGGTTTCTCGAATCTCAAATTCCAAGAGGGTGAAAACGCCCCTCAAATATTACAATATTTGTTATTTAAAAAACCGTTAGTATTTCGGGAAAACGCTTGAACAAGCATAATTTATTTGGTTTTTTTACATATTTTGAAATTTTTTAAAAAATCATACAGGGTGTTCCAAAAAGTTGGGTAATTTCTTAACCACGATTCTGCTTAAACTGCTTCACGTAAAAAGCTTATTTTTGGCAAACGGATTTTTCGAAAGTCAAATTCCAACGAGATGAAACTACCCCTCAAATATTACCAAGTTATATAATAATAACGCCATATTGTTTTTTCTCATGCTGACATAAATGTGAGAAAATTTTATCCAGTTTTTATGTTAATGGAAATTCTTGCTTTGCTTTATCATCACCATTACAAATGATTAATTCGACGCGAACGAAGTCGCTGGTACACGCTAGTATAGTATATTTGGTGTCGCACCACTCTGGCACTTTGTGCCATTGTATCGGTTTTTTAATCGCGGTGCGATCCCTTTAGACACACATTTATTAATACTAATATTATTTTCTAAAACTTAATGGGGTCTAATAAAGAAATTTGAATTTGAATTTATAATAGAAAAGCCTAAGGATGGCTAAATGAGAATTTACTGGAGCATCGTTTGGACCTACTGGATTTTAAAAATTCGATGCTTCAAAAGAAAAAAATAGGTTATATTTTGAAGGGGATGTGTGATAGGATGTATGTTCTTATACTGGTGAAGGGATGGAGCGTATACAGGTTTTTAAAAATGTTGAAATGAGAAAGCACTGTATGTGTTATCTTTATAGTCCCTGAATATAACGGTCGCTTTGATGCAAAAACTTTCGTGTTGCGTATTTTTTACTTATTTGATTTTTTTTAAATACGGAATATTTTTTAAGACATATGGTCCAAAAATTGCACCTATAAAACTACCAACAAAATTAAATAAAATAATCAATGGTCAGGCTGCTGTTGTTTCCGGCTGGGGATTAACAACTAATAATGGCCAGTTACCCATCCAGTTACAAGTAAGTAGTAGGTATGTTCTTACTAAAACATATCTAAAGTTTAGTATAAAGTTAAGTTTACGTGTCTTTTTTGTTACTAGATAATTCAATTCTCCTTTTTTTCAATTTCAAAAATTATTTCAAATTTGTTCATAACCTCTTTTGCAGAAAGATGCAAAGAGGGCTCACAAATCGCAAAAAGACAAAATCCAAGATGGCGGACACTTTTCATATCAAATATATGGGCAAGATTTGGGAGACTTTTAATTTATTATACATATTATGTGATATCTATATTGAATTTTATTTTTCATAGATACATATTGTAGCCATTTTCAGGCTAAATATTTCTGTTTTTATAGTTTCTATATTTCTAGTGTAGGTTTAATATTTTCATTTCAATAACTGATATTTCAGGTAGTTACCGTATCTGTTATTGCGACCAAAACTTGTCAAAATAATTTCTATGGCAGTAGTAGTATTACTACAAGAATGTTATGTGCGGGTGACAAAGACCGGGATAGTTGTGTTGTAAGTAAATAAATAGTAATATTATTTTTATATATTTGATAGCTTATATGATATTGCCATTTAGTTAACGGTTTAATGATTTATAAAACCTTTATAAGAACATTTTCTATCCTATAAATATCCTTGCTTTAAAATGCCGAGTAAGGCAAAAAAAATTATCTGTAATCTTTTAGAAGTGGTTACCTAGGTTATTAATGGCGACATCCTATGAAAAAGTATAGGTTTTTTTTGCTAAAATTAAAATCCAAAAATTTTCTAAGAAAATAATAAAATTAATAATAAACATTATAGAAATTTTAGAATTTTGTACATTTTGGCAAAGCTCAACTCAACCACCTAACTCAGCATCACATAATCAACGTTAGATTTAACTAGGTATACTGGGTGCGTCTCAAAATTGGCTCACCCCCTATGACTTTTTTATTTTTTCAGATACAAAAACAAAATTTGGTGTGTTAGTATGTAACAAAATAGGATTGATTGACATATTCAATTGTTTTAGGTCACTTCCTGTTATACCGGAAATGACTACAACTTTTGATTTTTAAATGGCACCTTCGGTATTTTTTTCTTTATTCTAGAGAAAATAACACTCTAAATAGCATGACATATCATATCTCAACTTTTGACAGTTTCTCATATGGTTCATTTAAAATTGTAACATGCTGTTCATAATCACAATTTGATTCGATATATCAAGTGTGTGGTACCAAATTATTTAAAACAAATCCTTTTTCCAAATATGCTAATGAGCCACCTTTGTTATATTTGAAAAAATTGAGATATGATTAAAAATACGATTTGGGCATCTCTTAACCGGCCAGGACAAGACACTAAGTACATTAGACTATCAAATTTATTTTTCCAAGACTCTCTGATAAAAAATTAGTGTTTTTAGGACAGCCATGGCATTCCAGATTGAAATTTAAAATACGATTTTTGTAAGCAAAAATGTCAAAAGTTGACATATGATATGTCATTCTATTCCGAGTGTCATTTTCTATCAAATAATGTAAAAAAAATACCCAGGCGAACATTTGAAAATCAAAAGTTGTAGTCATTTCCGATTGAAATAGGAAGTAATAAGTAATCAATCATAACAAATCTCGTTTTTTATCTGAATAAATAAAAAAGTTATAGGGGTGAGCCACTTTTCAGACGCACCCGGTATAACTCACTTTCTAAACTTGATTTTTGCATTATTTTTTTTTCTTTTATATAGGGCGATTCAGGTGGACCCCTTATATCAAATGGTACACAAATTGGTATCGTCTCATGGGGCTATGTATGTGGACAGCCCAAATCACCAGGTGTATATACCAAAGTAGTGCAGTTTTTAAACTTTATAAACAATATTGTAAATAAAGGATAATCATAATCAAATTAGTTTTTCATTTTATAACAAAAATAAGCACTAAAAGTTACTGCTTTTGTATTTTTTTTACAGAGAGATAATAATAATAATAGCTCCCGTGTAGGTATAGCGTTTAACGCCTTGGGAGTAGCAAGGTACAGCTTGCCATACTAGAGCTGTTTGGTATACAAGGAAGGTCATGTGGCTAGCACTACGCTTCAACCGCCTATTATTACCTCAGTACTCATTTAAGGCTGAGTCGACCTAGGTACCCAAACTATTTTTATTTTAAATAAAAATAGTCGGCTGATGCAATGACAAGTGTGGGATAGTGTGAGATAATTTATTATATTTTTATAATTTTCTTTTAAATAATTTATTATATTATTTATTGAATCAGGATTGTTTTCTTTAACATTTTGAACAAATATGATATCACATAAACGTAAAAAAGGCAAGACCGCAAGATTCTTCCATGCTTGGTCTTGGCTTTGCGGATATCTCACAAATGTTCGGTCTTGCACAGGGTTCCAACATGTCCCAAGAAAAACTACTCAACAGCATTTTTGTGGATGGATTCGTTTATGGAGAGTTCTGGGCCATGTTGTTGGATACAGGTGCGACCAAAACGATCATCAGGCTGGATATTTTTAAAAAATCGAAGAAGGAACAAAATAATGACGACTACGTGCTGCTACAGGAAGATCCACTGCTGTCCATGGAGAAGTATTTTGAAGTTATGTTTGTGGAAATCCCAATTTACCAAGTGTTTATACAAAATGTGTAAATAAAGATGATCATAATCAATTAAGTCTTTCATTTTTTAAATAAAATAATTTTTTAATGTTATTGTTTTATTTCTATATTTTTTACATATAAGTAACTTATTTTAAGTGTAAAATTGAGAGTGATACATTACAATAAATAGGTATTACAATATCATCAAAATAATATATAGTTAAACATAACAATTAAACATATATGTACATTTGTTGGTTGGAAGGACTCATTTCTTAAAGTCCAGTGTGTTCGTTTATCCAGTCTCTGAAAAATACCACGTTGGCATAAACGCCAGGCGCTTGATACGCAGCGCATTGAAATCCCCAGCTGACAATGCCAATCAGAACTCCGTCAACTGCCAATGGACCACCAGAATCTCTTTGGCAAGCGTCTCTTCCTCCATACGGAGATCCGGCACACATCATCCTGTCTGTTATGCGTTGTCCTGGAGCAAAATTCAAAACATTTTGTTTACAGGGTAGCTGGTTATTCTTGTTTTAACAGATAATCTTCAAAAAATAGTATGCCAAAAAATTAACAACCCTCAATTTATTTTTTGAGTTTAGTTTTACGATGCTGTAATTCATTTTTCTGGAATAATAATTGTGAAAAATAAATTAACAAAAAAGCACACAATAAAAATATGAAGTACTTTACATAACTTGTGTGTATACGAAATCTATATTCTTGTGTATGACATGAAAGAAAATAGAATCTTGTCTTCATTTAAAAAAATATATACTACAGGGTATCTCAATATTTCATGGACAAAAAACTACTAGGGGAGATCGGGGCAAGTTGGCGAAGTAAAATACAAAAGGCTCCAAAACACGAACTAACGGGTTTAAAAAAAATATCCCATTTCATCTGTTAGTACATTTATTCAGGTACATAATAAAACATAAAAAACAAAACAAAAGTGTACTCTTGAAAAAATATAAAGAGAAAAACAAAAAAGTGCATTTTCGTCAACTTGCCGTCAAGTACCGGGGTAAAATGACGAGCCTATAGGGGCAAGATGACGATTATAAACAAATGTCGCAGGTATATGTCCCATCTTTTTTGTAGGCTGTGCACGACTCGTGCCACCAACTCTCGCACGTGTTACATTGAATCCAGTCTTCTCTAGGAGGCTCATTATAGGATTTCTGGCAGGACCAAAAATGTCATTAGTTTTCTTCTTCTTTCCTACCTGTTTTTCACGATTTTCTTGAAATACATTTCTCTTGAGTTTCATAGAATCAACCTTCCTTCTTTTAATTTCTTTGAAGGTTTTTCATTGTTTTTCCTTTCCTTTTCTTCTTTGTTGGGTGTTGAGGTGGACAGAAGCCCTTTGTTTAATTCTTTTGGTAGATTTTATGGGACGTGTTTATTTGGGAAAGGGTCTCATTTCAAGTAGTGTAACTCGACTATCAATATTAGAGATTGTTTGACTGGAGCTGGATGAAATTATAGTACCAAGAGCTTGTGCTTTATTGTTTTTTGCAGAATTTTTTTGCTGCAGGCCTGAAGGTCCAGGAAGGGACAAATTCATTGACCTTGCTGGCTGATTTTTTTTGGAAAGCAATGGGGGTTCAGCATCTGGTGTTTCATAGTTTTTATTCTTTGCAGAATCCATTTTATTCAATCCTGATTGTCAACGATCAACAATACGGGTGCCTCTTTGTTTGGGCGAACAAATTTCACGAAATATTTAAGGTATAGGACAAAGGCTTCTGTATTCATCCATCCACTGGGTTTAGCTATACCACCAGAGTTTGGAGGATATCCATTTAAAAGATCTGGTCGCATCCTAACTAAATAAAAAAGGGTGGAACGTAGCTCCCTTGGGCGTTCATGGCACATACAACGGTGGTGTTTTTCCACGCTCACCGCTAGCAATTTTTGATACTCTCCTAGAGCCAGTGGGTGATTTTTGGCTTTTTATTGGGAACCGTTGATAATCCCGATTCATCTGCATTATAAATGCGGTCAGCAGTAAAATTGTATTTTAATCTAGTTTCTCTAAGTAACTCAAAAAATCTAGTTACTTCAACTTTATTAAATCCGAATAATCGTCCCAGTGAAGTCCACTCCGGGGTCCTAAGACTCATCCTATGTCTACTCATTAACGACTTAAGCCAGTGGTTTATGTTGTTAAGTTCAGCGAATTCGTAGGCTAGTTTTCTAAATTGTACTGATGGAATTCCAAATGCTCTAATACTAAGGTCAGTTAGGTAGGTCACAAACTGAGCTTCCTGAGCATCAGAAAACGTTCTTCTAAATCTCCCACCACTAAGAGGAATTGGTTCGTTGTTATTTTGCTTTTTTATATAACGTCTTAATGTTGCTTCCGGGATTCCATGCTCAATACTGGCAGCATTAACTGACTTATGGTCGTGCAAAATAGAGTGCAACGCGGCAATTAGCACGTCTTCTGACCAAGAGCGTCTATCTATACGGTGTTTATAAGTTCTCACCATCTAAAAACATCAAAAAATTTAACTAATTTTATACAGAGTGGGGCAAGTTGACGAATTCGTCATCTTGCCTCCGTCAACTTGCCCCAGGAAACATTTTTTGGAAACAGCAAAAATTAAATTATTAATTAAGTGAAATAATGTTGTATCTTACCTTCTAATATTTAAAATATTCACAATAATCAAGATTAACTATGAAAGGGGCTTCTATTTTTCTTCAAATTTGTAAAATTGCTTATTTTCTGGAGCTGGATATTTACATAACTACTTTACTAACAGGTGTGAAAAGCGGTTATTATTTTTTAAACCCGATGCAAAAGTGATAGCTCCATCTATGTATAACCCGACGTATTATACACCTAAAGGAATTTATAAAAAAATAAATGGGATTTTTAGGATGTACAGTTTTCTTTAAATCAGTACTTCGTCATCTTGCCCCGTTCGTCATCATGCCCCGATTTGGTATTTTTGGAATACGAATACGTATTTTTGGAATCAAAATAAGTTCATTGGACACAATTTACCTCTATACGAAAGTGCCTCGTTTGTTCGTTAGAGGGCATCAAACTTAGAAAAAAATAAACACATTTTTTCAGATATTTTAAGTACCGTTATTCCGATTTGAATGAGATTTTGGGTATCTATGTTTTGCTAAGTGCTCTAACATTTGACTCTCACAAAAGTGTAGGTAGGACTTAACTTAAGAGTCCATAGTCCGAAAAAGCAGCAAAATAAGCGTTCGGTATTTAACTTTTTATGTAAAACTGGCTAGGTATTTTTACACAAATGAAGAAGGAAATTAAAGAAAAAGGTTTATACTATATCCGTATTGTAGCACATTTTTAGACAACTCCTTTATTCTTTAGATTTTGATGGTCAAACATCAACGAAATATTCCTTATGTTTGGATTAAATTTTCTCGAAAATAAAGACATCATTTAAAATTCCGTTACAATACGGAAATAGATTGAAGTTTTGTGATTACAGTGATATAAAATTTATATGGTTTTGTAACAAATTGATCGCTATTTTATGGCAAATGCTGAAGCTCTGCAAACCTTAATCAAGCTTTTATCAAAGCACGTGTGTTTTGAATTTTAGGTGTGGCTTAGGGGCTTAACACGACAGGATCGGGCTAAGCCTTAGGGAGATTTCTGAAATATAATATATATTTCCTTCAGCCACACACCCGCTTTACCCGACCCGAAAGTACAGCGTAATAGACTCTTAACATCGGCGATATATTTTTTTACAGCAGTTACTTTTATTCTCAAAATTTCATTCGAGCACGTGTAGGAAAATTATAATAAATCGCAAAAAAATGTAGACTTTAACGTCCTCTGTAGCTACGAAATGAAGCAGAATCGGATCTATGTTGATATACAAAATTAATGTCATTTTTACATGAGGAGTCCTGTAATTGAGTAAAGTATAAGGTATATAAAGGAAGATTTTGGTACTGATCTTGACAATTTTTGAGCCCCACATTTTATAGAATAACTACGGCCATGATTGTATGCTAATTACTTACGTATGGTAGATGGATAATACTCATTACAGTTTTCATTGCTTATTAAAGGTACTTGCACCATTTGTAATCCAGCTGGAGTTATGCCACGCCATTCTAAAGCACCCCAACCTGTTATAGTGCAAACTGAACCAGGTACCAAAGCCTAAATCATATATCATATCATAGAATTTTTAAAACCAAACTCTACGTATTCTAAAAGTGTGTTTGTATTTTTATTCATAAAAGGATAACAAATAGAACAAAATATTATATCAAACAAACAAAATATTATATCGAACAAAGTATTATTATTTATAAGGGTTATTCAACTTTTTAACTAAAAATATTTTGGCCTTACAAAGAACAAAGCCATAAGAAGGCCATTATAGGTAATTTTGGTTTTTTGTAATTTAGTTCTAAAACGCATTGGCAACTTTTTTGTTATCGATATAATATTTATTACTAATTTTTAAATAATTTCCATTAATATAATCTTAGTTATACGACTGTGTTCAAGGAATGTTCGTTGAGTATTTTAAAGAAGATTATAATATGTTAAGCATTTAATTTTTTATTTAATTTGTTGAGTATTTTAAAGAAGATTATAATATGTTAAGCATTTAATTTTTGTTTAAATTGTTATTATATTATTAAAAAAGCTTTTTGTGTGGTTTTAGTAAAAGCGGATATTTTGATTATTCCAACTCTAGTTTTAAGTTGTACGACTATTACAGTTGAGGGTTGGAACCTTTAGTGATACACAGCAAAATAAAACACTAAATCACCACAATACACCAAAACACTTTTACTTTTACACTGGACGCGCGTTTCGCTACACAACAAACACTGTGATTGAATATATTGAGCTTACATCGTTATGTATGAAACAAAATTGTTTTCAATTTAATAACAACTTTTTTGAACAACGGGAAGGTACAGCAATGGGTAATCCATTGTCTCCATTTTTGGCTAATTTATTCATGAGCAGGTTTGAAGTGGAGGCTAAGAATCAGTTTGAGTATTTTCCAAGAGTATGGTTTAGGTATGTGGATGATATTTTTGCTGTTTTTGACACACATTCAGACACCATAGATAATTTTATTTCTAAGTTAAATAATCGTTTTCCTTCCATTAAATTTACGCATGAAATTTAGAACAACGACAGATTACCATTTCTAGATGTATTAGTTATTAGAAATACTAATAATTGCCTGGAATTTGATATCTATAGGAAAAATATGACCACACGCAGATATATTCCTAATGAATCACATCATAGTGTTGAACATAAAATGGCTAGTTTAAATTTCTTAGTTCATAGATTACTTAGTTTCCCACTTTCCAACGAAAGATATGAAATAGAAAGAGATTACATTAGGAATATAGCTGAGTGTTATGGATATTCTCCTTCACTAGTTGATAAATTAATTAGAAAACGTAGGTATAGGTTAATGATTTCTGAAAATTCGACTTTTCAAGTAGAGAAAGATACGTCTAAATATTTTTCGATACCGTTTGATAGAGAGTTATCCCGTGGTCTAAAAGGAATTTTTAAGAATGTCAATTATAAACTTGTGTATAGTGCTAATAATAAATTACAACAATTATTAGGTAATCCAAAAGATAAAACACCTCCACTGGAAAGGTCGGGTATTTATGAAATTTCTTGTAAAGATTGTAATCAGAAATATGTTGGGCAAACTAGGAGATCAATATTAACTAGATTTAAAGAACATTTAGCTCAGATAAGATATGGTAGACCGGATAAATCTTGCGTTGCCGAACATATTGTTGATAATGAACATTGTATAGATCTTAATAATTTAAAATTAATTAAACAAGTCTCAAATTACAGGCAATTAGATGCATATGAAAGCATCATAATTAATAAATGTAAAGATAGTATGAACAGAGTCAACGGTCCAATTCCTTCAAGTTCTTTGTTCCTACTACTCTAGTGGCGGAAATCTAACTGTTACGCTCAGTAGGCTCTGACTCGGTTGGCTAGAATTTGCCACGCCCACTCGGTGCCCACTGAGCGAGTATATAAACGCTCAACTTGTAGATTGTACTTTAGTTTATAATCATCTGCTGATGATGCTAACATGGTTAGCGAAACGCGCGTCCAGTGTAAAAGTAAAAGTGTTTTGGTGTATTGTGGTGATTTAGTGTTTTATTTTGTTGAACGGCTGCTTTATAACATTGGCCTTGTATGGAGCCCTGTTCCTTGCAAGTATCTAATTTAAGCAAAATTCAGAAACAGTTTCTGTTATTACCTGGTCTCTTGTAGGTAAAGGGATGGGTCCAATAGTGCTACTAAATGTCGCCTCCCTACCCAGTCGCATTAGAGATATGTCGTAGTCTATAGTAGATTGAACATACTGGGGATGGTCGATAATTTCGGCAATTGAAAAAACAAAACCTTCGTTCTGCTGAAATGTTGTTCCCAATCGAACTGTAAAGGCATATCGTGGTGGAGGTATTGTAAACCTATAAATAATGGTTAAAACACGTATGTAATAAAATCTCTCATTATTTAATTATAATTATTAATTACTTATTAAGTAAATGGATATCTCCTCTAACGACCAATATTTGGATAAGGTAGTGTCGTTGATTGAAGAAATAAGACGAAGCGCAACCTTATGGGCGATTTCGTGGCACAAAATCTGTCCGGGTGTAGCTGGCGATATCATTGCCGCTAGTCAACCTGTCCGAGATTAATAATTTAGCTCTGCGCCGCGCCGCTGCGCGTTGATAGTCGTTTACAGCGCAGCGGATAAAAAATACTGTACCGTAGTTCTGCTTTCAGTCGATAGAGTGGGTAGTCGCCGGAGACAGTGTTGCCAGAATTACGGATTAATGCGTAGATTTACAGATTTTGGGTACAGTACGTTAATATTATTTTTCAATCAACGGTCATATTTAGAAGAAAACAAGTTAAAACCTAAAGAGTACGAATATATTAGATCAAATTTGAATTCAATTAAAGTAATGAAACAGAGACTGAAAATCAGAAGGTAAAATATCTATAACGTAAATAAAGCTACTAGAAAAAGTGTATAAGTAACATTAATATATCTTTTAAATGCATTTTTGGAGAGATCAATCACGAACTATGCGTAGGAAATATAAAATTAATTTTAAAAGACACATATTTAAGCCAAGATCAATATTTTTATTTATCTAGTAGGCTTAACTTATTATAAATCGATAAACCATTAATTATCGATATTTTTATATAGATAATTTTAAATTTATTATTTTTGAGTCCATCTGTATGTTTGAAAGCTGGATTATAAATGAGAGTAATTAGCAAGATTATTTACTTGGGTAAAACTTACACCGTGTGGTGCATCGGTACACGGGACATAGGAAATCCCATGTAAATTTTAAAATGTAGACAAATATTAATCTCCAAAAAGTATACAAATATTAATCTCAAATATTATCTCCCCAGATAATTATATGCAAAAGTTGTATGACACTTTTTTGAAGAGGCGTTAAATTTGTATTTTCGTCTAGACTTTCGTTTTATTTGAAATCGGCATTTAAAAGTTATTTGCAAAAATCTGCCATTCTTCTTCTTCGTCGTCTCTTCATGTCTGAAGAATCGTGACATTATAGCTATGTGCAGCTGGTGATTTTGATCTTCCATCGTTAGCGATCTTCCGCCTCTCGGAGATTTGATTGAAATGGATGACCTGTAATATTTGCTATTTGGTCAAGCCATCTTGATGGTGATCGTCCTCTGGGTCTTCGGCCATCTACTTTGCTTTGTGCTATGAGTTTTCAAGGTGTCTTTACTTCTGCGAGTGATATGACCGAAGTATTGCAGGATGCGTCTACGGCAGATGGTGGATAATCGATCTGTGATGCCGAGTTCATTTGGAATTGTTCTTCGAGCTGTCTATGGGATACGGAGCATTCTCCTCCAGCACCACATCTCAATCTAGCATTATATTATTAAAATTTAAAATACGACCTAGAGAAAGCTACGGTAATCGAAAAACAATTTCCGATGCATGTAATCAACTTTGAGTAACAAGCGATGGCGACAGCGCTGCCAGATTGTGATAGATTTATGGGACAAATCTTAATGTAAAATTGGGATAAACAATATATTTATTAAATCACTTTTTAAAGATTTTTACGTTTTATGTTTAATTTAATATTTTAATGATTAATTCATTTAGTTGTTCTATAGTTTATTTTACTTATTAGATATTGGTAAAAACTAGTCCATTATGAAGAAGATGTAAAACTTACAACACCACAAGTGGTAATAATGTAATAACACGTAAGAGGACCAATAATAAGTAAGAGGGTGCCATTAATGCACAAACTAATAATCACAGAATTTACTAAAAACTAACGTAGAAATAACTTTGTATATTTCATATCAATTAAACATTTAGTTACATAATCGAGGACGCGATTTATTTAAATTCATTGTTGCCAACCATGGACATATTCGGTGCCGGGCTGAATAACTGGAATTTAAATTTCCCGCTGGGGATTCAGGTGGTAGCTCTGCTGTAAAAAATGTCAAGTTGCCGCACTTATTTATTTATTTCCTGACATGGTCATTCGTTTTGACACTTTAGTTTTAAATTACGAGTTTTTTGGTTTAAATAAATTGTGTTGTGATATTTTAATCTTAAAAATGTTTGTTAGCAGACCTTGCAGTCGAACATTTTTCTTTTTAGAACCTTTTTTACTTCAAAGTGTACAGGGTGGACCATTTTGGTTGTTTCTATGGGGTATTTAGGAAATCGTGAGAAATATTCAAATTTTGATATTGCAGTCTCGGGTTCTTTTTTTGAAAAAATCACAATGCCGCAAACGGATTGTGGCTACCTTGATCTGTTTCGAAGCTACAGGGGGATTCTCAAATTTTGTACATTTTGAAGATGTTCGATAGTTTGTTTATTTCAGCAACCACGGAAAAATGAATTATACATTCTAAAGGCACTTTTCTGTGTAGAATGCAGTGGCGTAGTCAGACTTTTTTCGAAAAAAATATTTTTTGAGATATTAACTATAATTATGTTTTTTTAAAGAGAACCCCTGTATGTTTTTAAATTTTCTTATTCGGCTTGGCATGGGCTTCTCGAAAATATATAACACTCTATACTTATTTTCACTATTAACCTCAACATTTCAATTTTTATAGTAGGCCGCACCGAGTAACAAAGTAAACGGTTGTCATGGTGATCGGGACATACCTTTGATGGTTGCGGAACATTTCATTTCAGCAGATTGATATGTGTGTATTTTAAATAATAAAAAAATGAGTAAATTTGAAAATTTTGAGAAATATAATATGTTAGAATGTTATATTGAGTCTAACAAATATAAGCAAATGGCCGCTGATTTATATTTTGAGCGGTATCCAGAGCGCGAGCAACCAAACCCAGCCATTTTTGAAAGGTTAGAAGATAGTTTAATCAATTTTGGATCTTTTCAAAAACCGCGTCCGAAAAATTATCAGAAAGAAGATGAAGAAAATCAATATGTTAATGTCCTCGGAGCCAGAGATTCTAACATATTATACCTATTTCTGAAAATTTTCAAATTTACTCATTTTTTATTATTTAAAATACACACACACATCAATCTGTTGAAATGAAATGTCCCGCATCCATCAAAGGTATGTCCCGATCACCATGACAACCGTTTATTTTGTTACTCGTCGCGGCCTATTATCTACTAAGTGGATATTTTAAGAAAAATTTGAAATGTTGAGGTTAATAGTGAAAATAAATATAGAGTGTTATATATTTTCGAAAAGCCTATGCCAAGCTGAATAAGAAAATTTAAAAATATACAGGGGGTTCTATTTAAAAAAACATAATTATAGTTAATATCTCAAAAAATATTTTTTTTGAAAAACTTCTGACTACGCCACTGCATTCTACACAGAAAAGTGCCATTAGAATGTATAATTCATTTTTCCGCGGTTGCTGAAATAAACAAACTATCGAACATCTTCAAAAAGTACAAAATTTGAGAATCCCCTGTAGCTTCGAAACCGATCAAGATAGCCACGATCCGTTTACGCCATTGTAATTTTTTCAAAATAAGAACCCGAGACTGCAGTATCAAAATTTGAATATTTCTCACGGTTTCCTAGATACCCTATAGAAACAACCAAATTGGTCCACCCTGTACAAGATAGCTTAATAGCCGTTAAAAAACTCATCGCCACTTTATTAGAATATTTTGAACGGGAAAGCGGTAGTAATGGCCTTTTATGTCCCTTAAGTGCTGTTAAAGAGGTGATTTTTGATGATGTAAATAATAACTGTTTATATATTTATAATTAATTTATTTTTGTCTCCTAATAAAATATTTTGATTTAAAGAAAATATATGTAAAAGTAAGCAACGCTGTGCCGGTCAAGCTTAATCAGGCGAATAAAAGTTTAATTGTTATGAACTGTAGACAAAAATCAAAATATGACACTTACGCTCTGGTACAATGAGCTGCTGTCAAAACCCATCTACTTGAGATTAAAACTGCTCCACAGATATGTCTATGCCAATATTGGAAAGAGGCATGATACCTGTACGACGATATTTCTACAGGTTGACCTCCTACAATTCTGGTATCATTACCGAGGGGTATAAAATTCGATTGGTACGATTTAAAATAATCAACTAGAAAGAAAAAATATACCTATATCATGTTTTTATTAATTTAAATTAGTTAACCTACCGTTAAGCACTGTACATTCAATTCCAACGACAATCAGACAAAGAAGGCTTATCTCTTTTAAGATCATTTTTGGGTTGTATCGTGGGTTGTATGATGGGTTTTGAAGGGAATCAGTAACAAAATAAAGTAAGACCAGTCTCTATAGCCAGATCATATTTTATATTTTTTATTGGCTTTGATGTGTTTATTGTTAGTTATAAATGTATTATTTTAACGGATATATCAAAGTGGGATTATGGGTAAAAATTATCAGTTCAACTAAAAAACAAAATAAAAAATACCTATTAAAAAATTGATTTGTTTGACAAATCGATGGAAAATAATTACTAAAAAAAATCTTTTGATAAATATTTAGTGCTGATCCATAATCACAGGGTGTCCCAATATTGCGTTGCAAACAAGTTTAGATTGGAAAGTGTGCATAAGGACAATGTAAACACTATTTGGCGCTATTCTTGCAACGGTGGCGCACAATGGATCGAAGCATAAGAAGATAGGGACATTGGCTGTTTTTGAAGAGTTCCAAATTTAAATATTTTTTTACATATTTGTGTTAAAGAGATATTCTAGTCTTGTAAAATATATACAGTATGTCTGTTTGTTATTTACTTATTGAGCATATGAGCACCATTTGAAGTAAATTGAAAAATCATTCAAATTGGTAGATAAAGAGTCTTACATTTGATTGTAATTTTAAAATGGATGTAAAAGGTATTCGTTTGTTATATATAACGACTTATTAGAAGCGTTCTTGGGCTATAGTATTGGATTGTTAAATTTAAAAAAAAGTCACACCAGAAGTGAAAAACTCATTTGTTTTTTATTTATGTCATTAAGACTTAAAAATATAAAGTTTTCTTGAATTACAAAAAAATGTAAGCGGATGTAAGTGGAGATATTACGTGCAATGTAAAGAGCCACCTTTACTAGCACATATCATAAAAAAATTGGCTGCCCCAAAGTGCCACTGAAAAAAATATAATGTTTTTAATGTCAAAATCCTTGAATTTATGCAATGCACGCACAGTGCACCATCAAGCAATTTGTAATTTGCCGATATAGGTAAGTATATTCGTTGAAGAACATTGGAATGGGACTGAATTACACTACAATACATAAGACATATAGGTTGAAAGGCCCAGAAATGTTTTCGTTTTGGTATTCGGTATTCGCCAATTGAATTTGGTATTCGGCAATTTGTCGAGTTTGCCGTGGAGATGGGCAAAAGTAACCGGTTTTTTGAATAACCGGTATTTTCCTCTAAAATAACCGGTTATTTAAAGGTAGTTTTTTTTTCGCCAGTTAACCTAATAACCTTGCATTACGTTCAATAACCTATAGCCGGTTATTTTTTAAAAAATCGTACTTGTTTAAAACAAGTAACAATTAAATATTAGCTGTTTGAATCGTAAATTTCGAAGAAGCGAACGGCACGGATCTTCCAGATATTACGACGATAACGGGAGATCCCGCTCCCGCTCCCAAAACGAAAATATATGACCAAATATATGACATCAAACATCAAATGTCAAAATTAAATCAGGCATCAGGCGAACCCTGATGATAATAATCAAAACAACGGCCGAATGGCCCTGACAGGTCAGGCAGTAAAACAAAGTACTAATGGCATAGACTACTACTAGCCACCAGCTAGCCAAGTGATACGAACCTAACTTCAAATAGATTCTCTAAATTCTATATTTAAATTTTAACCGACTTTAACGGATTTTCAACGGTTCTTCAAAAGTTTTCCATGGTTTCGCCCAGTTTTACCCACGTTTCACCGTAAATATATTTTATTTGTAGTTTGAAGTCTCTCTTGAAGCTTAGACTAGAGAATACAAAATTGAAGTTCAAGTAATGAATGAAGATAATCTTTCATTATCTATTCATTCAGTCTCCTTATTTTTCTTTGGTATTTGATTAAAATAACTTGGTTGTAGATTGTAGAACTTGTGAGTTGTGTGGTTTATTTGAACGTTAAGTAATTACTAGTTTTAATATCATATCCATGTCTACTCAAAAAAGTGAGGTTAGCATTTTTATTTAAATTTATTTTGTACATATACATACTTACATTGCTACAACCTCTATTTAATCATGCGATTTAACTAAGTGTATTATCTAAATTTGAAGTAGACCTATGGAGTGTAGAGGTAAGTAAACCTATAGGAAAACTAAATATTTAGTTTTGCTAGGTTAGGTTATTTGAATAGCCGGTTAATTTGTGTCGGTTATATTTGTCAAGTTATTATTTTTTAAAGATAATTCCGGTTAACCTATAACCGGTTTTTTACCAATAACCGCCCATCTCTAGTTTGCCGTGGACGCGCATCACGCGTTGCTTTGCAGAATATATTTGCAATTTTATTTTAGATTTAGGGAAGAAATGGGTTTGATAGTCTAGGAATAAATACTTTCAGAAATATAGAGAATGCCGTTCAAGAAGGTCTAATAGAACTTTTGCAAATGAAGACATTTTACATAATCTTTTGTTGTCTTCCGATCCATATATAACTGATATGCGTAGCTGTGATAAAATTCATAGCGATTTAACAGAGAAAGCAATATCTCTTTTGTTATAATATTTTTGTTTTCTTTTTTATTTAGAGATTAGTTCTTTTGTCAGTCACCCTGTATATTTTGTTAACTATTTGGTACAAAAGGCCATATTAATTTAGATTTAACAGAGAAAGTAATTTCTCATATGTTATAATGTTTTGTTTTCTTTTTGTTTATAGATGAGCTCTTTTGTAAGACACCCTGTATATTTTTTAAAATATCTGGTACAAAAGGCCATATTAATTTAGATTTAACAGAGAAAGCAATTTCTTTTTTGTTATAATATTTTTGTTTTCTTTTTTGTTTAGATATTAGTTCTTTTTTTGAGACACCCTGTATATTTTGTAAACTATATGGTACAAAATGCCATATTAATTTAGATTTTTGTTGAATTTATTGAAGTCGTACATAAAAAACAGTAAAATAAAAGTATTAATTTCGAAATAAGTCAATGTCCCTATTTTCCTATGCTTCGATCCATTGTGTGGCGACCCAAAGATTTTGATAATTTCGGATCGGTTCGGCTTTTTCCGGAGATTATGTCGCCAAGTATTATTTATTCAAATTTATTATTTTTTTTTTAATTTTATAAATAAAATACAGTGTGTTGCATACAAGAAACTTTATTTTATATAAGAATATGTATGTGAAATGCCTATGAAACATTGGAAACCGACGTTATGCCACGATGCACGATGGTTTTTGCAGTTCGCAGTTTATAACACAGTGTTTTAATTTTTAATGCCAGTTTTTCACAATAATTGTCACGGGTTTGAGTAGGTAAAACTTAAATTAAATTCACAAGATAGCAATAATTACTTTGAGAATGGACGTTTTAAACACTTTTCGGTATTTTTTCAATGAGGGCGAATATGTAGTTGAATTATACAGAGTGAGCTTTAAATTAGTGCAAATATTCTCAGGGCTGGTAGATCTCGATTAGGGTTCAGAACCGGGAATTCCCGGTTCTTTTGAGACATCAAAGAACCGAGACTCGAAATTATTAATTCCCGGTTCTTTCGACACTTTTGGTACTAATAATTAAAACCATATTTTTTGTTTCGTGCTAAAGACTGCTGAAACTTCCTAGCGATCGAAATCATCGTTATTTTATTATTTAGTATAATATTGCTAAATGTATTAGTTATTTTTTTTGTGTTATGTTTTTATAGGCATTCGCAACTTTAATTGAAAATGTTACGTTTTTTTTATCAAATTTAGTTAAGTTGGTTTTGAGGTTGGTTGATGTTGTTTGATGTAATTTTTAAGCTACCTATGTGTTTTCTTTTTTTTTCGCTTGTGTTCATTATTTGTGTTTATGTTTAGTTTCTCATGACTTAATAATTTGATATTACTTTCATTTGAAACTCAATTTTTTATCGGGTTTACTTTTGAGAACCCTCCCTTGCTTGCTAATTGATGGACTTCACAATCATTGAACGAAAATATTTTAGGACGGTTCCGGAAACTCTAATTAATTAAACTACCAATTAGGGTTCAGATTTTTTTGGCCATCACAGAACCGGGCCTCTGTAATAATAATAAACAATTATTTTTTTGTTACGTGAGAAGGTTCTTTGATACTTTCTAGCGGTCGAAATCAAACTTCTAAATAAGTAATGATGCTATTTCTTATTGTTCTTGTTTCTTTTCTCTTTTGAAGTTGCATTTTTAATTCAATATTTTAGGAATTTTGTCTCCAATTCAATTAAGTTGGTTTATATTGATTGACGTGAAATTTAAGTTTTACTTTTTTCTTTACTTGTGTTCATGTTAATTTTTTCATGACTGATTACTTAATAATTTGATATTATTTTCATTAAAAATTTCAATTTTTTATCAATTTTACTTTGAAAAACCATCCCCTGCTTTCTGATTGATGAAATGTACCACCATTGAACAAAAATTAGACAGTACCGAAAGTACCGAAAAACCAGGAAATCCCGGTTCCTAAGAGGCGCGGTACCGAAATTCCCGGTTCCGGAAACTCTAATCTCGATACAAGAAACATATTTTCTCTTTGCCGTTTTTTAAAATAAAAAAGTCCAAAATAACCGAGTAATTTTACTTTGAAAATTTCCAAAAAAAATATTTTTTACTTAAATTTTGATAACCACTAGATCTTTTCTGGATTTTCTTTCTTTTAATTCTAATCTGTTTTCACTTGGCATACATCTCATTTTCGCAAATATTTCATATCTAAGATTTATGAACAGGATTTGAAAAAAATACAACAGAATTTAAGATTTTTTTATTAACATTTTAAAGTCCAGTATGTTCAGTTATCCAGTCTCTACGTGTGTAACTACGTTAACGTAGACTCCCGGTGCTTGATACAAGGCGCATTGCCAACCCCAGCTGACAATGCCAATCAGAACCCCATCAACAACCAATGGACCACCAGAATCCCTTTGGCAGGAGTCTCTTCCTCCATATGGAGATCCGGCGCACATCATCCTATCTGTTATGGCTTCACCTGAGTCAACGATAGGGTGTATAAGTATATCTCGTTTGTTTACAAAATTTGGAAAAAATAGCGTATAGAATAGTTTTAGAGTATATTACGACAAAATTTAAAATTATTTTTGAGTAAACTGGATGTTTTAAAAAAGTGTTGTGAATAATTTCTACACAATTATTTACTTACGCCCTAGAATAGCCCTATAGTACTCATTGCAGGTTTCAATGCTTATCAATGGTACTTGCACCATTTGTAATCCAGAGGGAGTGACACCCCCAGGTGCTAGAGTACCCCAACCATTTACAATGCAAACCGAACCAGGTACCAAGGCCTATAACAAATTTCAAAAATAAGTACTTTACTTATCGTTGATTAGTTATTTTCTAGTAATCTTGAAATAAATTATTCACTTTGTTTATGTCTATTTAACTACTTTAACTTAAACGTATAGTTGTTGTATCCCTGACTAGATTAATTAGATTATAATATTAGTTTTAGGAAAGTATTTATCTATACGCCACTGTTAAAATTTTGTTGTACATCTTAAAGACTATCTGTAACCAGTTTGTTCCACTATAAAGAGCTTCTAAAATATCTTAACATTGGTGGCAACGACCTTAAGATTTTGGTGGCAGCGGTGGGATCACTACTTCTTCAATAATAATTCACCCTTTTTTAATTGTTCAATATTTTATTTTAAGAAGAACTTTATATTTAATACGATCTCAGACTTCCCAATAGCCAGGGGCGTACAATATACTTTTTAATATTCTTAGGTTAAAGTTCATTAAGATGTCGATTCTTAAAGAAAAGGCAACGAATGTCTAGATATTAAAATGTTTGTGTAAGGAAGCGGACATGAATAACAAAACTATATTATTTTATAATAGGGACTTTCGACTAATAATAATTGAAAGATCGTTTATGACTATGAGTTTGGTCCGGCGGTTTATTGCTTTTAAGGGCAATGAATCATTTTAGAAGCTCTTTATATGGGAAAAACTGGTTACTGTACAACAAAATTTTAACTGTGGCCTAACTTAATATAGATAAATACTTTCCTAAAACTAATATTATAATCTAATTAATCTAGTCAGGGATACAATATAATTTCTGTTATTACCTGATCTCTTGTTGGTAAGGGAATGAGCCCGATAGTGCTGCTAAATGTCACTTCTCTACCCAATCGAATTAACGATATGTCGTAGTCTATGGTCCCGGAATTGTATTGAGGATGATCGATGATTTCCGCAATGTTAAAAACATAACCCTCGTTTTGCTGAAACGTCGAGCCAAAACGAACAGAGAAAGTATGTCGTGGAGGAGGCAGTGTAACTCTATAAATACTATTGTTATATATTTAATAATTTATTAAAATTTAAATTGAAACGCACTGAAATAATACAAGTCCTCTATTACGTTATTATTAGAAAAAATTGTGTAAGTAACTAAAGCAGGGACAGGGATAGGCGTATTTGGGCCGAAAACTAAATACTCCGAATCAATGGCCACCTACCCCAGCATCCTTTAGGTAGAAAACTGCACTATCGAAAGATGCGTACAATTTATCTTAGACAGGAACTATCGAAAAGAGGAAATAGCCATCTTATTCGATAGTCAAGCAGCACTAAACACGATCAACTTAGTAACCATTAATTCGAGTTTGTCAAGGAAGACCTAGAGAAGCTAAATAAATTACGCAAAGAAAATAAAGTCCTCCTACTCTAGGTGCCCGCTCACCAAGATAGCAGGCAATGAAAAAGCAAATGATCTAGCTAGAAAAAGAGCGAACACTCCACTAACTGGACCGAGCTGTTCTGTTTTCCAAGCGGAAACCAACTAAAAGCAGAACTAAAGAACATGGAAGACTCCAACCTGGAATGGGAGTCCTCCAACGGTGTAAGACACTCGAAGAAGTGCCTCAGAACTTAGGACCGAGCAAAATCAAAGATTTTCCTTAATTTAAGTAAAAACAATCTTTGGATTGTCACGGGGTTTCTAACAGGACACTATCTCCTCAACAAACACCTCAGTAGGCTGAAGCTGAGAAACAACGGCGAATGCAGATTCTGTGGGGAAAGAGTAGAAACACTAGAAGCTTATCATTGACTCTGACTGAGTTATAACTTGTTATAACTCAAGAAAGGGGAACACACAATAGATATGTAAGGTCGCGGTGATTAACGCCCTCCTAACATTCTACATTCAAAATTGGCATTCTACATTCAAAATTGGCAACTGTGTCTCGTCTTCAAAAATGAATATCTCTAATAAAAATAAAGCTATTGAGATGAACCAAAAAACTATCGAAAAAAGATGTGCCTAGATGTTAAAATTTTTTAATTGCCTCGCTTTGTTAATATATTGCACAGGATGTTTCAAAATTTTACTATATTATAAATATATATATATATATATATATATATATATATATATATATATATATATATATATATATATATATATATATATATATATATATATATATATATATATATATATATATATATATATATATATATATATATATATATATATATATACGTATACACCAGTGTACACCAGTGCAGACACGCACACCCACAAACTCACACAACCACACCTACACTAGTGCACACTGATGTAACTGCCTTCAGGCTTCATCAGTACGGTAAGGAATCAGGCAGCGAAGACACCGATCCCAAACACACAAAAAACCAGGAAGCAAACGATGCAACGAGGCACCGTGTGCAACCCAGGAGATGGAAAAAAAAATGATGAAGAAACGAAAATAAAAGATGGAAAATAAAAGGAGCAAACGGGAGCCTAAAGCCCCAATTTGCAGCCAAGAGTTTCCATCTCCTGGGTTGCACACGGTGCCTCGTTGCATCGTTTGCTTCCTGGTTTTTTGTGTTTTGGGATCGGTGTCTTCGCTTCCTGATTCCTTACCGTACTGATGAAGCCTGAAGGCAGTTACATCAGTGTGCACTAGTGTAGGTGTGGTTGTGTGAGTTTGTGGGTGTGCGTGTCTGCACTGGTGTACACTGGTGTATACGGTTACGAGTTGTTGAAGGCTGAGCCGTTTAAACTTTTTTCTTGTTTTTTATACATTTCCCTCACTATTTCTTTCTTTTATATATATATATCAAAATTTTAAGGTGCCCGTTTTTAGTGCCGATGAGTATATTTTATGGTTATAGTCACTTCATAGTCTCTCTAATTTATTGATTCAGTATTTTTACATTTTATTGATTGATTTTTTTTTATATAATACAAGTGAACGAGACAATGAAGGGTTTATAAAAAAATATTTTTTTGAATCAATGTGTTCGTAATTATGAAACAATTCTTATTTATTCAAGAATTCATGAAATCCTTATTGCATAATATCGTTAAGATACACAACCTTCTGGGCGACTTAGTGGCATAAAACCTGTCCGAGATGTAGCTAGCGTTACCGTCAGCCTGTCCGAGAATTCCGAGATTTAGTTTAGCTCTGCGCCCCTACACGCTGATAAAGAATACTGTACCGTAGCAGACCGTAGCGTAGGCGTAGTTCTGTTTTCAGTCGATAGAGTGAGTGGTTGCTGAAGACAGTGTTGCCGGAACTACTGATTAATCCGTATATTTACGGATTTTGGGTACAGTACGTTAATATTACAGATTTTCTATCATTAAACAATTTAATATAATATTATATGATTAAGCAAAGGACGGCGTCAGAGTTGGCTTGGAAATGAAGATCGCTGTTATTTTCATATGTAAAATATTACGGTAAATGTCAATAATCGTCATTTCCAAGCCAAATAAACGACTTTTTTCTATCATACGACATATTCAGTACCTACAAAAGAATTTTAATTTTTGTTGTTTATTCTATGTTAATTTATATAATTTTTCAATATTAATATTCAAACTTATTACATATTTTAATATGGCAACACTGTTGCTTTCAAATACACATCGTTTTCGGTGGCCTTCGGTGGCCGAATTAGAGAAAACAAGTGTTTTATGGGTTGGCGGCAGAACGATTGGTGTGTTCACCGTATAGCACTAAGAGACGTAAGGGGAAATCAAATCAGCCTTGTCATGAATTCGCCCACTAGGTTACGTATGTTCCCAATTCTTTCAATTAACGATAATATTTTATATCGAAATTGTTATTTGTTAAAATAGATGAAGAACTTTATTTAATTTAAAGAACGACTGAAAAACGCAATAATTGTAAGATGATACTTACGCTCGGGTACAATGAGCTGCTGTCAAAACCCATATTCTCGAAATCAAAACTACTCCACAAATATGTCTATGCCAGTATTGGAAAGAACCTTGATATCTATAAGATGATATATCTACAGGTACACCACCCACAATTCTGGTATCATTACTTAGGGGTATATACTTTGATTGATACGTTTCAAAATAACTTCCTAACAACAGGGAAGAACTGCCTATATCATATTTATTAATTTAAATTTAATAAACCTACTATTATACTCTATAGATTTAACACTAACGAAAGCCAGACAAAGAAGTAGTATTTCTTTTAAAACCATTTCTGATGGGTTTTGTAGGGGATTCAGTAATAGACTAATTTATTGAAATAAAAACATACTGATATTATTGATTATATCGGATCATATATTTTTTATTTATTTTATTGACAATATTAATTTATCTATAGGTTTATGGATAGTTATAAATTTAGTAACTTAAGCGATCTTTGAATGTAGGATTATTGATGAAAATAGAAGCAAAAGACAATGTCAAAAATATAAAAAACCATATACGGTTTTTTTAAAGGATTAAGTAATTTAAAACATAATTTATTTTTATCTACCTTGATAGGCTTATATAATGTAACTAGCGTGTACCCGCGACTTCGTTCGCATCGAATTAATCATTTGTAATGGTGATATGATAAAGCAAAGCAAGAATTTCCATTAACATACAAACTGGATAAAATTTTCTCACATTTATGCCAGCATGAGAAAAAACAATATGGCGATATTATTATATAACTTTTGTATTGAGGAGTAGTTTCATCTCGTTGGAATTTGACTTTCGAGAAATCCGTTTGCCAAAATAAGCTTTTTACGTCAAGCAGTTTAAGCAGAATCGTGGTTAAAATCAATTACCCAACTTTTTGGCAGACCCTGTATGATTTTTTAAAAAATTTCAAAATATGTAAAAAAAACAAAATAAATTATGCGTGTCCAAGCGATTTCCCTAAAGACTAACCGTTTTTTAAATAACAAATATTGTAATATTTGAGGGCCGTTTTCACCCTCTTGGAATTTGAGATTCGAGAAACCCCTCCTTATCGAACCTCTACACCCCACAGCCAATCCGATTGCCAAAAATCAGCTTTAAACGTCAAGCAGTTTAAGCAGAATCGTGATTCCTCAATGGTCATATTTTATGAAACACCCTATATATTTTTTTTAAAAATCTTAAAATATGTAAAACAACAAAATAAAATATACGTGTTTAAGAATTGTTCCGAAAAACTCACCGGTTTTTAAATAAAAAATATTCTAATATTTGAGGGGTGGTGTCACCCCCTTAGAATTCGAGTTTCGAAAAATCCCTTCTTATCGAACCTCTACACGCTAAAGTCAATCCGTTTTCCAAAAATCAGCTTTTTACGTCAAGCGCTTTAAGCAGGATCGTGATTAATCAATGACCAGATTTTTCGAAACACCCTATACGCATTTTTAAAAAATCTTAAAATATGTAAAAAAACAAAATAAAATATACGTGTTTAAGCGTTTTTTCTGCTCCCTTCTTATCGAACCTCTACACCCTAGAATCAACCTGTATGCCAAAATTGAGCTTCTTGCGTTGAGTGGTTTGAGCAGGATCGTGATTAATCAGTGAGGAACGTCAAAGATCCTTATTTCCAAGCCATCCTGACGCTGCTTTTGATCACTATGGTATTTTTTATTGAAAAAAATGATGTATGGTTATTTCATTAGTTTTATAATGATTCCTATAATATATTTAATTTATATTTGTTTTTACTTTACTAAATATAGAAAGTAATTTGTTATTATGATATTGTGTCCAATTATTGTACTTACAATTTGGTACTTATAGTTTGGTCGAGCTACCAAAATCCGTGTGTTTTTAGAAGAGGGCCTATATTTATGATTCTAAATAATTTTTAAGGTTTTAACGTTGACAATAAGAGTGAAAGTCGCTTCGAAGATTTTGGCGTTTGGTCGCTACATTAAATTATTATACCAGCAGAAAAAAAAATAAAGGTGTTAATAAAAATAAGATGTTTGCTCTCGGAAACGGTAAGTATCTAAACGACCAGTGAAGCCTCTACGGATAGAGCTAGTGGAGCTCTATATTGGTTCCATTTAAACTGGCTTTCGAAAATGTACAGTTTCTCAGATATTTAATTTGAAAGTTTCCGATTGTCGATTTTGTGAATATACCCCTTTAAAAAAATTGGATTTTTTTAAATAAAAAACACAGTTTCAATGGGACGATTATACAGGGTGATTCAGATTTTACTAGAATAACTTCAGGTATCGATAGAACTAACCGAAGTAATGATAGTTTGTATTATAAACCATACTCCAAAAACGCTTCCGCTTGGAGTAAAATGGCGCTAAAATTTGAATTATTTTTCGGTTTTTATTTTATTACTCGCAAGCCAGAGGATCTAAATAGGCATGTGTTTGGTTAAATGCAAAGGGCAACGTGGCTGATATGTGTGAAAAAAATTGGATTAATTGCTATACAGGGTTTTGTTTTTGTGAGTGTCAACTGCACGGAACCTTTTAGACTTTGCACTTTTTTGTCGCACGCCACTGGATAAATTTGTATTTTTTTCTGATTTTTTCTGATACCTTCCGTCTTTTTACTAACTTTTCTTGTTCTTAAATTTTTTTGATATGTCGCTTAGTTTTCGAGATATTCCACAAAATTCCGAACATAGCTCAGCTGCGTTCGAAAAATATTACTTAATTAGCAACATGCCTTGGAGAACTTAATTGAAATTTTGGCGCCATTTTACTCCAAGCGGAAGCGTTTTTGGAATATGGTTTATAATACAAACTATCATTATTTCGGTTAGTTCTATCGATACCTGAAGTTATTCTAATAAAATCTGAATCACCCTGTATAGGGTTCCACTAGCTCTATCCGTAGAGACCTCGCTTGTCATTTAGCTACTTACAGTTTTCGAGATATTTAAGTATTTCCATATTGGCAAAATTTCAAATTTAAATCGTTTTCTACGAGTCCTAATGAAAATCTAAGAAACGAAAAATAGGCCATGGGAGGGCGCCATGAATCATAGTTTGTGTGCATAATAAATGGTTTCTTAGAATTGAAGGGTTTACATACTTTAAAAATGTTGAAAAATCAAAATTTTCAAAAATGTTCCCAGTCAAAATTGAGCTTTTTCAGTTATTCCGATTTAAAAGATTTTTGGGCTTGGATCGATGCAGATTGATTATTTATTTTTTTTAGTATACAAAGTTTGTCAAAAAAGTACATATAGGGTGGGGAAAAAAATAAAAACCAATTTTTTTATTTTCCGAAATTTTTTTGAAATAGAACATAACCTAAAAAGGTAGTCAAATTGCATTTAGAATTCTTATCAGGGCCATGTAAGTGAAATATTAAAAATGGTTCCAGCAAAAGTTTCCCAATTATGACGGATGATGGCGCTGATCGTCAAAATTTTTGGACAGGGATTTTGCTTACCGACAATACGACGTGAGCTACGACCGGACCAGGACCAATCAGAATGATCAGTCTTTCTTGGACATTTGCCGCGGAAGTGTGTGTTAATTTCTGTTGTGATAAGTGTGGTTGTGTTTGCAGTTTGATTTTTCGGTTTTGATATTATGTTAAAATTAATTTTGAAGTATTGTATCACCTGTTTTTATGTAATAGTACTTTTTTTAGTTCTATGATCTGATATGTTATGATTTGTTAATGTTTGTTTAACAATGTTATACCAAAGAGGTTATACCTACTTAATATACTTATCAATTTGCATAGCCTAACTTTTTTATCAATAAACTTTGTAGATTTTCAGATTTTTTAATTCCTTTTGTTTCCGTTTGTAATTTTATTTTTAAGACATATTATGTGATTGTTTCACATAATATGTTTTAAAAATAAAATTGCAAATGGCGAATAAAAATAATTAAAATAAATAAGTGTATTTTACAATTCCCCCCCGGCCCCGCACCCTTTTGGCTAACCTATAATGTCAGCTATGTCGAGAGATGGCGTTACGAAAATGGAACCGATTTATTACAAGGAACTTGGGCTTCTTTTTCGTTAGTATATTCTGTGATTCTTATATTAACCTCTTCTAACCGTACCGTTTGAAATGAAAAAGTAAAGCCTGTTACCGACCTTTTTTGGGAACACTTGGGCACTATATAGGTGAAAAAAGTGTAGAAAGTTAAAACAATTAAACATAAGTAATATTAATTTGTATTTATTTATTATTTTCTTAAAGCCCACTGTGTTGTTGTATCCAGTCCCTGAAAAACACCACGTTAGCGTATACTCCAGGTGCCTGATACTGAGCGCAACCATAACCCCAGCTAACAATGCCAATTAGAAGTCCATCAACTACCAATGGACCACCAGAATCGTTTTGGCAAGCGTCTCTTCCTCCGTATGGAGATCCGGCGCACATCATTCCGTCTGTTATAGCTGCGGCTGCAAAGACAAACAATATTATTTCTAATATACAGGGTACTCCGAATTGTATTCGGGAAGCTTCGGCAGCATATTCTGGTGGATGCACCACCTACATATTATTTAACTGGTTTCAAGAGAATAACTTTTTGTCTGTACCTGTACAAACGTACTAAGCGAATGTGAATGAAGAAATACTGAACATTTACAACATTTACGACATTTCTTGCGTAAAAAAGGTCTCTGAAAAAATCGCCAATAGCAATTATTGTTCTCAAGATATTTGGTATGGAAATAGTCAATACATGTCATCATTGACAAAAAATAAACAATATGTTTACGAGATAGTTATTTGACTGAAATGATAAAATTGGAAACTTATTATTTTTTTTTAAAACTAATCACTTTTTTAACTTATACTTACGTCCTGTGCCAGTTGAATAATACTGGTTACAGCTTTCATTGCTGATCAAGGGTACTTGCACCATCTGTAATCCAGCTGGAGTAACGCCACCTTGTGTTAAAGTACCCCAACCAGTTATAGTACAAACTGAACCAGGTACCAAAGCCTAAAATTTAATAAAGCCTTTTTTAGATTAACAAGCTTTTTAAATTATTTTCCGAATATGGTGAAACGTTTTAGTGGGGAGTAGACTTGCGTATGGTCCTATTTTCCTCTGAATTTTACTTTTCAAAAATAATCTCTCTGCTTTCCTGATCATTATACAGATTTAAACAGAAATTAGTTTTGTACAGGGTATCTCATTTTCTTGTGGTTTATGGGCTTTCTCGTTTATGAATAGTAACGGAAACTACCAGTACACAAAAAAACCCATAAAGCACACGAAAATAGAATGCTCTCTACTTGTAGGTTCTGTAAAACAATTATTAAGTTTTTCAAAGTTTCTGTGTGCTGACACAAAATCAAATATCAATTACATTTAAATCTATGGACTACACGGTAGCCACATAAATCGCAGAACGCCTATGCTGAACAGTATGTGTTTCAACATTGTTTCTCAGATTCTCCTGTGCCAAAAAAAATCGTAACAACACTATTTTTAAAAGTTGTTTTCTTTTTCAATTTATTATTAACAAGAGTAGAAAATATCGTGTCAACAAAACATCACAGAGTCCAAACCTAATGAAGTTACATTTTGTAGTCAATTTTTCCACAGAACATTTAGTTTTAGGACTCAAAAATAAATCTCATGCATACCTGTATAATGATAAACAAACAAACCAAACAAACAACGCTTTATTGTGCAAAAAGCCAAAACAGCTTCATCGACAAAGCAATCACAAAACAAACAAAAGCACAAAAAAAATATATACAAATAACAAAAAATACACAATACAAATCATACAATTCAAAAAAAATTAAGTCATTATAATTACAAAAAGTGCATGCATGGCCAACTGCAGAATAGTAAGCAGTAAATAGATATAATTTTAAGAGTTATAAAATATTTAATTTTTTAAATACTTGACCTTTGACCAGTGTGTGAGATGATCAATATTTTAAACCTCAAAATTGTTCATGATTAAACATCAACAAAAAAGTCGTTTACCGTATATAGGGCTCTCTCCAGTAAGTATGATTTCAGAGCTTTGCGAAATGCGGGAAAGGATGAAAGCGACTGATATTTAAAGGCAGATGATTGTACATTTTTTTGGCATTGTACAGTATTGAGCCTTTAACTAGTTCTGAGCTCGGGGTTGGTAGATAAAGATCGTGCTTCGCATTCCAAAGTGGATAGTTATGGGATGGCCTTTCGGAAATAGCAGATATGTGCTTGGGAATTAAGCAAACGATTCAAAAATGAATAAAGAAGAAAGAGTCAGTATTTGGAAATTTTTAAAGAAATTCTGGCAGTGAGTTCTACTGTTCAGTCCCAATAAATATTCGAACTGCTCTCTTTTGAAGCCTGAAAATATGATCAAATTTTGTTGCGCAGCAAGTACTCCAGAATGGAAGGGCATAACAAAGATGTGACTCAAAAAGGGCATAATAGGCTATTCTAGAGGTTGATAAGTTAAGCTCCTTAGAAACTGATCTTAGCGCAAAACAGGCAGCGCTTAGTTCCTTTGATAGAGCTTCGATGTGAAAGTCCCATTTTAACGAGTTATCTACAACAAGTCCTAAGAATTTCACAGAGTCCACGACGTCAATAGTGGTGTTATTAAGTACAAAAGGTTGTATAGTACTTTTATATGACAAAACTTTAGTTTTTGATAACTTGAGGCATAGGAGATTAGAATCGCACCAAGATTTAATGGTGCGTAAGTCACTGGATATAGTATCATATAGTGCCCCAACATTTGGGCCGCTCCAAGTGAAACTAGTATCATCCGCGAAGAGGCAGATTTTACCGCTAATGTCTAGATTTGCAATGTCGTTGATAAACACCAGAAACAAAATAGGGCCAAGTACTGAACCCTGAGAGACACCACATTCTATAGGCTTACAAGAAGGCATAGACGTATCAATCCTTACAAGCTGCCTTCTGTTGCCAAGATATGACTTGAGCCATTCGAGCGGCACTCCCCTGAATCCATAGTATTGCAATTTGTTAATTAAGATATTATGATTTACACAGTCGAAAGCCTTAGAGAAATCACAGAAAATTGTAGCTGTAGAGTGATGGTTATTCAGGCTAGAGTATACATTATTAAAAAGGTCGAACATAGCATCATTTGTGCAACTGTTATTTAGAAATCCAAATTGACGGGTAGTAAGTATTTTAAATTTAAGGAGAAAAGATAAAAACCTTTTTTTAACCAATCTTTCAATGATCTTAGATAATGTGGGCAGGAATGCAATTGGGCGATAGTTCGAAGCTTCATCTTTATCTTCTCCTTTATGCAGCGGAATAATTATTGCTGTCTTAAGGCAGTTTGGAAAAACTCATTTTTGGAATGACTCGTTAATTAAAGTAGTAAGATGGATTAATGTGCATTCAGGAAGTTCAGAGAACATTTTGAGAGTAAGCCCATCAGTCCCAGATGAGGATTTGTTTTTAATACTATTAATTGTACGGGCGTGAAGAAGAAACTGTATAAATTCTCATTTGTTTTAGGGAGATATGAAAGTGAATCATGAAAAGGAGTTATGGTGTTCAGTAAATTTTTAGCCACATTAACAAAGTAAGTGTTTAAATCTTCAGGTGAATTAAAGACTGTTCGACGAAGAAGTCTTATTCCTTAAGTCATTTACAATAGCCCAAGTCTCCTTAGCAACATTACCGGCTTTGGCTAGCCTCGCATTATAATAAATAAAAATAAATAAATAAAAATAAATAAATGAATAATAAATAAATATAAATTAATAATATATAAAGAAACTTGTATTTCTGAAAAATATATTTTGAATGACACATATGAAACTGTCAGGAATCCTGTCATTGGACAGATTATATAAAAGGATTTTACAGGGTGAGTTTTAAATAAGTGCAAATATTTTCAGGGGTGGTATATTTCGACCCCAGGAACACGTCTATGAAGTTTTTTTCCCAAAAAAAAAGATGTTGAAAATCGTGCATTTTCTTTTAAATTTCCCTGTATATTTTTCGAAAACTTTTTAGAACTGCCTGTTCACCGTAAATTTTCCCACGGTATAATTTCTTAATCTCTGATATTACCATAGTTACAGCTTTTCTCTATGATTACAGAGCACTAAAAGGGATGCAAATACAGAAAAAATCCGGTGGCTCTCAAAATTTTTCCAAAAAAAATCATTTTTTTTTAATTTTCAAACTTAAATAACTCGGTTATTTTGGACTTGGTAAAGAGAAAATATGTTTCTTTCATCGAGATCTACCAGCCCTGAAAATATTTGCACTTATTTAAGACTCACCCTGTATAATATGATTGAAAAAAAAAAGGCGTCAGGGATGGCTGCGAAATGAAGATTACTGTCATTTTATATGTAAAGTTATATGGGAAATGTCATCGATCGTTATTTTCCAGGCAACTGGACGTCGTTTTTTCGATCATAGGTATTATTTTACTTTCTTTAAAACAGAATTTTACAGTATTATTTGTTATGTCTATTTAAACAAAGATAATATGAACTTATTGATTACCTGATCCCTTGATGGTAACGGAATGGGCTGGATAGTATTGCCAAATGTCACTGCTCTACCCAATCGAAGTAAAGATATGTCGTAGTCTATAGTATTGAAATTATATTGAGGATGATCAATGACTTCGGCAATTTGATAGACAAAACCTTCATTTTGCTGAAATCTCGATCCCAGACGGACTGACATGGAATATTTGGGCAGAGGAAAAATGAACCTACAAACCATGTGTTAAATAGAATAGATAAATTAGAGAAATTTGTATTAATTAAGAATATTTTTGATTAAGTTAGTAACTGATTATATTCTGGTTATTGGTAGTAAATAATTATAAAATAATTAGTAGTGGATCTTTTCTGGATTTTCTTTCTTGTAAATTTAATTTACTACCTATGTTGCCATATTATCAAGAAATTATTTTTTTTTAAATAAAAACGAAAAAAAATTTCAAAAAATTCCGAATTTTCAAAAAAAAAATTCGCGAAAATACCCTCATAGGCGTGTTTCTGGGGTTGAAGTATACTACCAGTTAAAATACTTGCACTTCTTTCTGGGACACCCTGTATAATTGAATAGTAGAATGCTTACTTTCCTACATCTAAAGTGAATATTAACCATTGACAGTAAGCATTAAACAGTAACATTTTTCAGTAAGCATTGAACATTGTATATTCAATTTTTACTTTTTGGTATCACCAATAATAAGAAAAAAAAATTATTATTTGGTCCTGTATAATAACTAAATAATCAGAAAATGTTTTATTAATTTAGAAAAAGTTTAAAACAATTTTAGTTAGTAAGAAACTAATTTAACAACTATTTATTAGTATTTTACTTAAAAAAATTACTGTAATATAGATTCTTTTATTTCTATTTAAGCACTTTAATAGACAAACATACTAGAAAAACGTTTGAAAAATGACACTCACATTTTGGTACAATGAGCTGCCGTCAAAACCCATAGATTTGAAATCAAAGCTCCTCCACACATATGTCTATGCCAATACTGAAGAGAAACTTGGTACCTATAAGACGATATATCTACAGGTAGACCACCCACAATGAATGTACTGGTATCATTATTTGTGGGATGAAATCTTTCATGGTATGAAGCAAAACTCTCAGCTAAAAACAGGTAGAAGATATACTATATTTAATAATTAAATTAGGTATTAAACCTACCATTAAACACTGATGCAGATTTGATACCAACGAAAATCAAACAAAGCACTAATATTAATTTTAAAACCATTTTTGTAGAGGTTCTGTATAAAGATTCTGTAATAAACTAAATTAAAACCTAATATAAAATAAAACTGATACCTGTTCCAGTTCACACTTTTTGCACTTAAAATAATATTGGTTTATCTGTACTTTTTTATAAGGATATAATTCATTTTGGATTGAAGGATTATTAGTGAAATTTAATTACTAGCTATCATCAGCAGAGGTAGAAGCTAATGTTGTTAGTAAGTGTTTTCGTATGTTGTGATTACTGATGATATTTTGCAGAAAGTTTACTATAAAAAATGGAATTTAATCAAAATCTCTTAGTATAGATTACGATATTTCTTATTTTTTAATAGGACACAAAATACTGTATTTTATTTAATAAACCAAACTTTAGCATAGCAATATTATTTATTCACCATCATTCATATTATTTTTTTTTCAAACGTCACAAAATTATTAGTTTTAAGCTGTACGCACACTGCTGCGAACACGATCTCCACGCGGCCGCGGCCAAAAGTTGCTGAAGAATACATATGGGCCGTTTCACATTGGCGACATCGAGTTTTGGAGACGAAGTGGTCTGGCGACGTTCTATTCTGCGGTGGCGATCAGATTCAACTTATCGAGTTTGATCGCGTGATCGCAACCCAACTGATAGGAATTTTCCGTTATTTTGTGTGTTTTTTCTTGTTGCAATTTAGAAATGGAGTTAACAGAGCAGCTAATTAAGGCTGTAAAAATACACAAAATTATATATGATTTATCCGATCCAAGTTACAAAAATAAAAGAATTAAAAATAAAAAGTTTGAGACAAAATGGAGATGCAATTGGATTGGATAGTACACGTAGAATGTAGAATGTTTAGGAGGGGAGTTAGTCACCGCGACCTTAAAGATCTATTGTGTGTTCCCCTTTCTTGAGTTATAACGAGTTATAACTCATCATACAGTCTCAAGGCTTTAACAAAAGCCAGTATCTGCGACGGCTGCACAGAGGCTAGCTCTCCATCCTTGACATCAGCCGTACCAAAGTTCATGGCACGAATGGTCGTCGTCTCGGCGCACTCAGTGATGAGGTGTTCGGGTGTTTCCCCATATTCCCCACAGAATCTGCATTCGCCGTTGTTTCTCAGCTTCAGCCTACTGAGGTGTTCGTTGAGGAGACAGTGTCCTGTTAGTAACCCCGTGACAATCCGAAGATTGTTTTTACTTAAATAAAGGAAAACCTTTGATTTTTCTCGGTCGTAGGTTCTAAGGAACTTTTTCGAGTGTCTTAGACCGTTGAAGGACACCCATTCCAAGTTAACGGTTGGAGTCTTCCAGATTCTTCAATTCCGCTTTCAGTTGGTTTCTAGCTAGATCATTTGCTTTTTCATTGCCTTCTATCCCTTGGTGAGCAGGCACCCAGAGTAGGAGGACTTTGTTTTCTTTGCCCAACTTGTTGAGCTTCTCTAGGCATTCTTTGACCAACCTCGAATTGATGGTTACTGAGTTGATCGCGTTTAGTGCTGCATGACTATCGGATAGGATGGCAATTTCCTGTTTTCGATAATTCCTTATCTAAGATAAATTGTACACATCTTTCGATAGCGTAAATTTCTGCATGAGGGATACTGGGGTAGGTGCCCATTGGTTCGGAGTATTTGGTTTTCGGCCCAAATACTCCTATCCCTGTCCCTGCTTTGGTTTTGGAAGCATCAGTATACCACGTTATGGTATGGTCTTTTATATGCTGAGTAAGCGTTTCTTCCTTTCAATCCTTTTTATTACTCAATACTACAGTGAGGTGTTTCTCAAAGTTGTAAATTCTTGGTATGTCATCCACTGGAAGTTGGAGAAGTGGAATTTTCTTTTTGAGGGTGTTCCAAGCCCCTGACCTAAAAATTCTCCCAGTACTGTTTCCGTCAATGACCATTCTAATCATTGTCGCATTGGCATAACTACCGACGACAATGTGCAGTGGTGTTAGGTCTAAAATGACCTCCATTGCTGCTGTTGGACATGTTCTCATGGCACCTGTGATACAGATACATGCCAGTCTCTGTACTTTGCACAGGTTTTGCCTTGCTGTACGTTGCTCTAGTTTTGTATACCAAGCAACTGCTCCATATGTAATCATGGGTCTTACTATCATGGTATACATCCAGCGCAATATTTTAGGGGCGCAGCCCCACCTATTTCCCGCCAGTCTTCTGCATATCATGAGAGCCTTTGTGGCTTTGCTGGTAATGTTCTTAATATGCCTGTTTCAGAGAAGTTTACTATCCAGGGTTATTCCTAGATATTTCACTTCCTGTGATGGCAGTATTTCCTTTCCATCTAGATGGATTCTTTTCAAGTTTTTCAAACTTCGCTTTTTGGTGAATGGCACTACCGTGGTTTTATCTGAGTTAATACTCAGCCCGACAGTCCTGCACCATCTCTCAGTGATGCGGAGTCCTCTTTGGATAATATCACACAGGGTGCCTTGGATAGTACATAATATGTATACATTTTTATTGTTTAAGTTTAAATATTGTAGGTCAATATTTAAGAATGTTTTTTTTTCAGTATACATAATTCACATTTTTAATTTGTACCTATGTATACCTACAGGATAGCTCACTACATATAGGTACAGCGGTGAATGTGAACGCGTTGGTGTGTGCTAGAATGATCGCTCATGTTATCGCTGCCGTGATCGTAATTGTGATCGCGGCCGTGATCGCACTAGAGTGCGTGTAGCTTTAAGCTGTACGCACACTGGCGCGATCACGATCATGATCATGCAGCAATATTATGAGCGATCATTCTAGCGCACACCAACGCGTTCACGTTCACCGCCGCACGTATATGTAGTGAACTATCCTGTAGGAATGATCGCTCATGTTATCGCTGCCCTGATCGTTATCTCGGCCGTGATCGCGCCAGTGTGCGTACAGCTTTATTCTACGACTAGCCTAGAAAATGCAGTTTGACACACGGAAAACTCGATCTGAAATTGGCGTTTTGCAAACTGTCGTGTGCTAATAAGGATTTAGCGCAGCCGTCAGAAAAGTGTCATCATTACATCGCAAATTATTTCACAAAACTGCCAAAAACTGAGTGAGTCTGCTGCTAATTTGTAGTCGTAGTCGTAAAAATAGCGTAAAAGCTCGTTCGAAAACTTCTTTGTACACTTGTTCGACTTGTCGACAAAAACAAACTGTCGAACACGTGTGTGAAACGTCGTTTTCGAAACTCGTTGCACTCGTTGTTTAATATACTATTGTGACGTGATTGTCAATATAAAAAAGTCATTTTAATGCCTAGGCATACAAGTAAAGAACTTTTACGGATCATAAAAGTTACGAAAATATATTATTAAACTGACATAGAGTGTCAAAATCAACGAGCGTAACCATAAATAACTTTTAAGATGGTTTTCTTATTTAAAATGATAGTTTCAAGTGAAATTATATAAATGAGCGTATTTAAATTCAGTCCCTCACAATAGATGGCGCCACTATCATGGAACTATTTTCCTTTCTTTTTCTTTGTATATTCTTTGGTAACAATAGTTTCTCGATATATACAAGGTACAAGGTATTACTTAATAAACACTAATTACTTTAGGTTTACTTTTTACTTATTTTACTAATACTGTTATATTATTTGGAACGTTTAAAATTGTTTAAAAAATTATTTGTGACGCTTGAAAAAAATAGCATGTTCTATTCGAAGTAAAAATGACTTTTGGTGCCTCACCTGTATGTCGTAAACGTACAGCCTCCCAACAGAAAGTATTATTTCTACTCCTAATAAAACAATGTACTATTAAATTATATATCCTACTGCCAGCTTGCATGTTTTGTAAAAAAAACTTGAAAGGAAAAAAACAAATGAGAAGCCTGAGCTTTTTTGAAACACTGGGGCAATATAAGTAAAAGAATATAGAAAGTCAAAACACATAAACTTAAATATCTATATTTATTTCTTGTCGTCTTAAAGTCCACTGTGTTGTTGTATCCAGTCTCTGAAGAACACCACGTTAGCGTACACTCCTGGCGCTTGATTCCGGGCACAACCAGAACCCCAGCTGACAATGCCAATTAGAAGTCCATCAACTGCCAATGGACCACCAGAATCATTTTGACAAGCGTCTCTTCCTCCATATGGAGACCCGGCACACATCATTCGGTCTGTTATAGATGCGGCTGCAAAGAAAAATAATATTATTTTTATTAGACAGGGTGGTCCTAATTGGTATTTGGGAAACTTCGACAGCATATTCTAAAGGATGCACCACCTATAGTGTGACCAATGGATCTGTAGCTACGGGGTATCGGCAGGGGAACGCAGTTGTAAACAAAACACGCCCAATTTCATTCATAAAATAGGCAACGTTATAATGTAATAAAATAAAAAAAAATCTGATCTTCTCTGGGGTAGGCAACGCTTTTTTGCCTACATTATACAGGGTGTCATTGAAATGGTGTAAAAAAATCTGGGGGTGATAGTACTCCTAAAAATAGTAAAATAGTTCCTATAAGTATAGGGCGGAAAATGCATATTAAGGGAGTTAGGGGCACTGAAAGGGTGAATTTAAAAAACGGTTGTTTTAAAATTGTAGGCTTAAAAAATGAGATAAAATTTCGAAAAAAAATCCTCTGTCATAAATTTTGACCCTAAATCAAATGGTGATACTGAAAAATTATTTGGAAAAGCGGAAAGGGTAGTTTTTGTAAGAGTAGTGGGTTGTTTCGTGAATAACTTTTTTGAGGTTATTTTTTTTGCAACGTGGGTTCATTTTTTGAAAACTACATACTTTTTCCTACAAAAATGATACTCTTGTTGCATATCGCTCAGAGCGATGGTCTTCGAGAAAATTGAAGACAAAAAGTTCGCTCTGATGGGTTGCTATAGTCTGTGAAACGAATAACTTTGAATTTGACAGTTCCCGCGGGCTTTTATAGTGTTAATTTTATTAGGTTAGCAACTTGCGGCCATTCTGACGCAATGCCATCTCTAATAGAATAGCCTCGAAGCGAGATTTATGACGTCACGCTAGTTAAATACTACGGATTAATAAATATGTTGTAGAATACATGGAAAACATAATAATTCCTCGTATTTTTGGTTTGTATTTTAAAAATGATATAGTTTACATGAAATATACATAATATACAGTTAATAAATACAATATATATACCTATTTATAGTAATAAATAACTTTCATAAAATAAACCAAATAAACTATGAACCATACAAATGCAGCAAATGTTTTACAATATACAAATAATGAATAGATACATAAGATAATGGGTAAAATGTAAAATATATTTTAAATTTTGGGGTTTGAAAATCGATCTAATTTAACAAACAACATTCAATATCTACTACTTACTATGGCTGAAATCGTATTCCATAGTCAATGTAGATAGTTTTAGTGTTAAGAATAATAATTTAAAAAATACGTGGTCATCTTTTGACAAGTTTATATTAGTTTATTAATTGCAGTAAACATTATGTGGTGTGAATATTTTATATGTAATTTTTTGGATTATATTCGACACTATTTTTTTTTCATATGACACAACACTGATGAAGGCTATGATGTTAGCGGAAAAGTTTTTTAACCAAAAAATAATGAAAAACAAATGAAAACTTAATCAGCGTTTTTCCCGAACCTAAATCCCAAGAAAATAAAAAATTTTAGAATAATTTTACATATAAAATGACAGCGATCTTTATTTCATAGCCATCGCTACAGCCTTTTTTCTATGATATTGTATTATTTGCAAATATAATTTTTCGAACATTGATACTTGCAAAATATACATATACATTTTGTGAATGCAAATAATAATACATCACTATTAGTAGATATTGAATGTTTTTTGTTAAATTAGATCGATTTTCAAACCCCAAAATTTTAAATATATTTTACATTTTACCCATTATCTGATGTATCAATTCATTATTTGTATATTGTAAAACATTTGCTGCATTTGTATGGTTCATAATTTCTTTGCCAAAGTTATTTATTACTATAAATAGATATATATATTGTATTTATTAACTGTATATTATGTATATTTCATATAAACTATATCATTTTTAAAATACAAACCAAAAATACGAGGAATTATTATGTTTTCCATGTATTCTACAACAGATTTATTAATCCGTAGTATCTAACTTATTAGATAAATAAATCAGAGACGGCATTGGTCTGATATTTAGAAATGTCAAAAGCTGATGACATTTTACTTTTGACAATTGTGTTGATTTTTGTAAGAAGAGGAAGAACTGTCACTTGTTTTATTATTTTCCTTTTCTATTTCATGAAAGTAAAAAGAGTTACCTATCTGATTCGTTCAGGCACTCAATTTAAAGAATATCAGTAACTTTTTTGACAGAGGAATTTTATATTTACCATGTTGGTAAAAAATAACGGTCAAAATTCAAAGTTATTCATTTTATAGACTATAACTGGTTAATCAACATAAACTTATGAAAGTTATGGCGGTTCAAAAAGTAATCAAGTAGTTATCAAATAATTAATTAAAAAATCAAAATTTCATGATTTCTAATACATCTTGTTGCTTTAAAAACAAAATAATCCAATTACCAAAATTCCTTATTAAAATAATGAATTCCTTAATTCATTCACAGTAAATGTTCAAAGTGACCACCATTCATTTCAATATAGACATCTGATCTTCTTCTCCACGATCTGTGTACCTTGTGGAATATCCTTGGTGTTGTCCGAATGTGATTGGAACAGTCAATAATGCTTTGCTGTAGTTGCTCTTCAGTATTAATCGGCACTGAGTAAACCAAATTTTTTTAAAACCAAAAAAAATTATTTCGTTTTTAAAGCAATAAGATGTTTTAAAAATCATGAATTTTGATTTTCCAATTAATTATTTAATAACTACTAGGTTACTTTTGAACCGCCATAACCTTCATAAGTTTATGTTGATTAACCAGTTGGCAACCCATTAGAGCAAACAGTTTAGTTTGCCTTCAATTTTCTCGAAAACCATCGCTCTGGGCGATGTGCAACAAGAGTATCTTTTTTGTAGTAAAAAGTATGTAGTTTTCAAAAAATAAACCCACGTTTCAAAAAAAAAATAACCTCAATAAAGTTATTCACGAAACAAAAACTACTCTTTCCGCTTTTCCAAATAATTTTTCAGTATCACCATTTGATTTAGGGTCAAAATTTATGCATAATACAATAAGCCTACAATTTCAAAACAACCGTTTTTTAAATTCACACTTTCAGTGCCCCTAACTCCCTTAATATGCATTTTCCGCCCTATACTTATAGGAACTATTTTACTATTTTTGGGAGTAATATCACCCACCGATTTTTTTACACCATTTCAATGACACCCTGTATGCACGACACTAATAGTTACTGAGAATTACTAAGAACAATCTATTGGACATGTGCTAATAGCTTGCAAAAATTATATATTAATATACGTACGTCCTGTAATAGTTGCATAATACTGGTTACAGCTTTCATTGCTGATCAAGGGTACTTGCACCATCTGCAATCCAGCTGGAGTAACGCCACCTTGTGTCAAGGTACCCCAACCAGTTATAGTACAAACTGAACCAGGTACCAAGGCCTAAAATTTAATAAACATAAACAACAAACAAGGATAATATCTACTTATGGATTACCTGATCTCTTGATGGTAAAGGAATGGGTTGGATAGTATTACCAAATGTCACTGCTGTACCCAATCGAAGTAAAGATATATCGTAGTCTATAGTAAGGAAACTATATTGTGGATGATCAATGACTTCGGCAATTTGATAGACAAAACCTTCATTTTGCTGAAATCTCGATCCCAGACGGACTGACAAGGCATATTTGGGCAGAGAAAAAATGAGCCTAAAATAGGTAGAATGAGAATAGATAAAAAAATAAATAGATAAATTAGAAGACCTTTTCATTAAGGCTATTTTTGGTTAAGTTAGTAACAGATTATATTCTGGTTATTAGTAGTAAATTAATATTGATTTAATTCAATAAATATACTTGAATAGTAGAATGCTCACTTTCTAAAGTCTAAAGTGAACATTAATGATTGACAGTAAACATTATTAAATTGTAACATTTTTCAGTAAGCATTGAACATTGTATATTCAATTTTTAATTTTTGGTATCACCAATAATAAGAAAAAATATATTACTATTTGATCCTGTGTAGTAACTAAATAATTAGAAAATGTTTTATTAGTTAAGAAAACGTTTAAAAACAATTTTAGTTAGAAAGAAACTTTATTAATTAATTTAATATTTATTAGTATTTTACTTAAAAAAAAATTACTGTAATATAGATTCTTTTGTTAATATTTAAGCACTTACGTGCACAAACATGCTAGAAAAATGTTTGAAAGATGATACTCACATTTTGGTACAATGAGCTGCCGTCAAAACCCATATATTCGAAATCAAAGCTCCTCCACAGATATGTCTATGCCAATACTGAAGAGAAACTTGGTATCTATAAGACGATATATCTACAGGTGAACCGCCCACAATGAATGTACTGGTATCATTACTAGTGGGATGAAATCTCTCATGGTATGAAGCAAAACTCTCATCTAAAAACAGGGAGAAGATATACCGTATTTAATAATTAAATTAGGTAGTGAACCTACCATTAAACACTGATGCAGATTTGATACCAACGAAAATGAGACAAAGCACTAATATTACTTTTAAAACCATTTTTGTAGAGGCTTCTGTAGGTTCTGCATAAAGGTTCTGTAGTAAACTAAAGTAAAACTGATACTTGTTCCAGATCACACTTTTTGTATTTAAAATAATGTTGATTTATCGGTACTTTTTTATGGGGATATAATTCATTATGGATTGAAGGATTATATTAGTGAAATTATCATATTATCTAGAAAACAACGCTAGAGTATAGTTGTTCTGTTATATAAATAATATAAAATAAACTTTTTTGAAACAAATTAGATTTAAAACCTCTGGCTAGAACCAATTTTAAATTGTAATAATAATAGTAAAATATATTTTTTTCCAACGTCACAAAAATATTAATTTTTGCGACGTGATTGACAATATAAAAAAGTAATTTTAACGCCTTTAATAGCTTAATTTCAATTAACGCATAAAACCGTGGATTGAAAGAATTGGATTAATATAATATATTATTGTTTCTATCAACGATAAAAGTAAGAAAATATACAGCTCATTCCAAATAACCTTTAGTCACGTGATTATTCTTGACCGGCACAGCGTTGCCTACTTTTACATATTTTCTTTTAATCAAAATATTTTAGCAAACAAAAATAAATTAATTATAAATATATAAACAGTTATTACTTACATCAACAAAACTACCTTCTTAACAGCAGTTAAAGGACATAAAGGGTTTTTACTATCGCTTTCTCGTTCAAAATATTCTAATAAAGTTGCGATGAGTTTTTTACGGCCATTAAGCTATCTTGTACACTTTGCACTAAAAGAGGTTCTGAAAAGAACAGTGTTCGTTTGCAAAGTCTGCAAGTAAACATTTTTAAGCTTAAAGTAGGTATCACAACACAATTTATTTAAATCAAAAACTCGTAATACAAAACTAAAGTGTCAAAACGAATGACAATGACAAGAAATAGATAAATGTGGCAACTTGACACTTTTTACAGCAGAGCTACCACCTAAATCCTCAGCGGGAAATTTTAATTCCACTTAGTCAGCACGGCGCCGAATATGTCTATGGTTGGCAACAATTAATTTAAAAATCGCGCCCTCGATGACGTAACTAAAAGTTTATTTGATATGAACCGTATTATTAAACTCTCACTTATTGACAATTATATTAATAATAAATAAACTAAGTCAATGTAAAGATTGATGAAATTTGATATAGAGCATTTTGGAACATTAAGTACCCTGCGAATGTGTGTAATAAATCAAAACAATAAAATTTAAGTATCCATATTTATTTATTTATTTTTTTAAATTCCACTGTTTTCTTGTATCCAGTCTCTGAGAGCCACAACGTTGGCATATACCCCAGGTGCGTTAGGCTGAGCACAATCATAGCCCCAGCTGACGATGCCAATTAGAAGTCCGTCAACTACCAAAGGACCACCGGAGTCACCCTGACAAGCATCGCTTCCTCCTTCTGCAAATCCGGCGCACATCATTCGGTCTGTTATGGAGCCAGCTGGAAAAAAATAATATTATTATTAACACTGGAGAATGATGACATACCAAGAATTTACAACTTTCAAATACACCTCACTGTAGTATTGAGTAATAAAAATGATTGGAAGGAAGAAACGTTTGTTCAGCATGTAAAAGACCATAACGAAACCAAAGCAGTGGCAGGGATAGGAGAACTTAGGCCGAAAACTAAATACTCCGAATCAATGGGCACCTACCCCGGCATCCTTCAGGCAGAAATCTAGGCTATCAAAAGATGTGTACAATTTATCTTAGATAGGAACTACCGAAAACAGGAAATAGCCATCTTATTCGATAGTCAAACAGCAATAGACGCGATCAACTCAGTAACCATCACTAGTTGGTCAAAGAATACATAAAAAGCTGAAAAAATGGTAAAGAAAATAAAGTCCTCCTACTCTGGGTGTCCACTCACCAAGAGATAGAAGGAAATGAAAAAAACAAATTATCTAGCTAGAAAAGGAGCGAACACTCCACTATCTGAACCAGAACCTTTTGTTTTCCAAGCAGAAACCAATTAAAGACGGAACTGAGTAACCTGGAAGACTCCATCCGTAACCTGGAACGGGAGTCCTCGAACGGGCACTCGAAACAGTTCTTCAAAACTTTGAGAAACGGAGAAAAAACAAAGATTTTCTTTGATTTAAGTAAAAACGATCTCCAGATTGTCACGGGGTTTCTGGCAGGATATTGTCTCCTCAACGAATACCTCAGTAGGCTGAAGCTGAGAAACAACGCGAATGAAGATTCTATAGGAAAATTTGGGAAACACCAGAATACCTTATCACTGAGTGCACCGAGACGACGACAATTCGTGCCATGAACTTTAATACGGCTGATGTCGATGATGGAGAGCTCGCCTCTGTGGAGCCTTCCCCCCAGAATTCTCATTCCTGGTTACGGATGGTGGATTCCAGAGGTGTAACTTTGTCGAAGCATGATCGGTACTACGTTCATTGCAAAACTATTGTCGCTTTATCAAATCGGGTATTCTCGGCAAATGCCAAAACACGTGTGCGACACGGTCTAGGCTGCCACCTCGCCACAAAGCGAGAAATCAGAATATCGCTACGAATCGATGTTGCTACTGAACATAGTGCCTCAAGCTACAAAATTACTTTGCTATCGCATTGAAACATGAACAAAGGTGCACTCCAGGTTCTTGAATTCTGCATTAAGTGGGTTGCTAAATGAGAAGCACAACAATTCTGGTACAGTAAGTGGAATGTTCGCTCCTTTTCTAGCTTTTCTAGCCAGATCGTTTGTTGATTTTTGATTACCTTCTATCCCCTGGTGGGCTCGCACCCAGAGTAGAAGGACTTTATTTTATTTGCCTAATTTGTTCAGCCCCTCAGCCATTTCACTTAGCAACAAACATACTACTAAGTGCCCCAATGTTCTTCATTGCCATTTATGCTTCGGAGACCAATGACTTAATTAATGTGTTAAAGACAATACGACGTTATATCGATGCTGTTGAGGTGTTATAGACACAGCCCACCGTACAAACATTTAAGTCTTGAGAATTCAAATTTGAGTTCTATAAACCAATCTTATTTAAGATATTTTGGCCACATATTCAGAAAATCCAATGGCTTAGAAAAACTAACTGAAAAAACAAAAGTAAACGGGAAACTACTAGAGGGAGACCTTAAAACGGTTAGGGTAAACCAAATAAAGACTATAATAGGTCACAGTTCTGAACGTGTCCAGTAGTGCTTTGCAAGACTGAACAATATGGAGAGACACAGTGAAATATATTGTTTCGTAATGTCACTTACTCTTATACAGTAATAGGAAGGAGAAAAAAAGAAATACTTACGTCCTATAATAGCTGAATAGTACTCCTCGCAGTTTTCATTGCTAACCAAGGGTACTTGCACCATCTGTAATCCCGCCGGACTAACGCCACCAGATGTTAAAGTACCCCAACCAGTCACTATGCAAGTTGAACCAGCTACCAAAGCCTAAATTAATATTAATTTAGCCACCACAGTAAATATTCTTAAATGGCCAACAATGAACAAATTCACACTAGCCGGAACGTTGCCATCGCGTCGTCCATCTTCCATTTACTTCATGTTGTAATGTCGACACGACGCGACGGCTCGACGTGACGGTGACGCATGACGGTACGTTGTAGTGAGAATTGTGCAATCTTTCTCATCACGTTTTAAAAAAACATTGCAAATCAGCTGATTTTACCCTTCGATTCATTACCCTCCGAACCAGCGGATTTGCTCCGTGACAGACTTGGTCCGCTACATAAACACAAAATTTTTAGCCAACTTATACACACATGCCCAAAATGATTGCATATATCGTTTAAAAATATACGGAAAGAAATTTAAAGAATCTTTTTTTATACATAGCTTTGCTAATCTGTAATAAACATTTTTTTTGTTAAAATGGATATGGTAAACAATGTTTATCGTTCTCCAATATTATTACAAATTCTTGCACATTTAGATTTGTGGTCTCTTGGGTTTCAGAAGAAATTTGATCATTGTTTTGGCCTTAAAATGCCTAGAAACATTATTTCACAGTTTAATAGAGTCAGAATAGTAACACTGTCTCAACTCTCAACAGGGCTACCGGCAAGTTGCAATAGCTGACATTGTAGGAGTTAACCAAAGCGATGTTTCGTGAATATTAAAAAAAATCAGGGAAACAAACGAGGTTACAGACCGGCCTCGAAGAGGTAGAAAGAGTTACTACTGTTGTGTAAGACCGTCAAATATCCCTAATTGCACGACGCAATTCCCTGCTTTCTAGTACTGTTATTAAAAATGAGTTAGCTCGCCTTGAAGGAGTAAATGTTTCAAGAAAGATCATGCAAGAAGATTCCATGACAGAGGATTACATTTAAGGAGGCCTCTACGTGTTCCGAAACTTAATTTACAGCACAAAATTACGCGACTACAATGAGCTGAGGATATGAGAGCAAATGGACCTAATTGGAATTTCGTCATGTTTAGTGATGAAACAAGAATAGGCTTAGTGTCAGACTCGCGACGAATTTTGGTCTTGAAAGCAACTGGAAGACGAGCACGCTTGAATGCAGCTCAACCCCGTGTCCAGATTCAAGGGGTATGGGCAGGTATAATGCACGGAGCTCGAACTCCTCTTGTTTTTATTGATGGCACAATAAGAGGTGCCTCATATCTTAGAGACGTTTTAGAGCCTATTGTGCGTCCATTTCGAGGGGCAGTAGGGGATGAATTTGTTTACATGGACGATAATGCTCCTCCCCATCGCACTTTAGCGGTTCGCGAATTTTGTGAGGAAGAGAGTATAAGAAAACTGTGGTGGCCACCGATGTCTCTAGATATGAATGTGATCGAGTATGCTTGGGACATGCTAAAACGCCATATTGCCAAAAGGAATGATCCCTCCCCCCGTACCTTAAACGAATTGAAAATTGCTGCACGCGAAACATGGGAAACCATTCCTCAACATCTTCTGGACAATTTAATTGAGAGCATGCCACCTCGTCTCTCAGCTTGCATTGAGGCTCGACGAGGCAATACAGACTATTAGTTCTGAGAAATAATTAAAAATGTTTTCAATATTTTCTGTTTAAAATGAAATTTGTTTTTGTTCATTTTCACTCATTATGAAATAAAATTATAATAACAACCTAGTTGCATTTAGATTTTTAATTTTATATTAGTTAGTCGTGTAGTAAGCCAATATGTTCAAAAAAATAAAAAGAATCATATTAAGTCCAAAATAAAATAAAAATATCGTTATATGCAATAATTTTGACCATGTGTGTATGTTGGCGTATGTGGTGCTATTGACCATGTCTATTTAAAGAAGTAACTAATAGATTACCTGATCTCTTGATGGTAAAGGAATGACTCCGATAGTGTTACCAAATGTCACCTCTCTACCCAACCGGATTAAAGCCACATCGTAGTCTATATTGTTGTAATCGTATTGTGGATGATCAATGACTTCGGCAACTTGAAAAACGAATCCTTCGTTTTGTTGAAATCTCGTTCCAAATCGGACTGTCAGGGAATATTTTGGTAGAGGGAAAACAAGCCTAGAAATCATGGTTTAAATAGCAAACTTAAATGGGAAATGGGAGAATGTTTTTATTAAAGCAGAGTTAACATTAAGTTAGTAACAACATTTATAATATAATAATTAAGGACATAATAGCATATATCTACATCTGTTTGAGCTTGTCAAGACTTGAATAATATTCGGAAACGAGTGTGCATAGGTTTGCAGTCTAGCATAATCATTTATGTAGTACGGATCGTTTAGTGGTAGCAAGTGTTTAAAATGGCTTATAGGCGGTTTCTTACTCAAAATGAGTTGGTAGAAGCCATGGAGGTTGCAGTCTTAGAGCTGGAGGACGGTAAATTACAAAATTGGTTTTATTTTTTTATTCCGCTTAACAATATTCAAAATTAAAACATTTTCTTAAAATTCGTTAAACATTTTTTCAGGCTATGTCGATGACGTTTATACCACGAGATGTCGACACTCTCACCGACGAAGAGACCTTTGACGATGAGGCAATCTTGTGCGAAACAGGGGAACCTGAAGATATAGAGGGCACGTTTGAGTTGCAAGGCCCAGCAGACAAAGTTTTTCCGGATAAAGCTATGTTGTTGTAGATTTGCTATCAGTAATAGAAAAGCCTATACATCACCAGGTATTTTTTCATAATTTTTTTTTCAATCAAGTTATTTGTGCACTTAAAAAATAATGACTTTTTTGCTACTGGTACTATCTGGGACAACAGAACTAATAAATGCCCGGTTGAAGACGATAAATCAATGGGAAAAAAGGAGCGCGGAACTTACTCTGCTGCGTATGACAAATTATCAAACGTCTCTGTTGTACGTTGGAACGATAATTCGGTGGTAACTGTTGCAAGCAATACCTACAGCGTTGAGCCTATAAGTCGTGTAAAAAGATTTGATAAGAAAAATAGAATTGATAAGTCCATTCCTCAACCCAATGTAATATCTCAATATAATAAGTACATGGTAGGGGTAGACTTGCATGATAATGGCATAGCGAATTATAGACGTAGTGTACTTGGCAAAAAGTGGTGGTGGCCCATATTCGTTTTACAATATAGTCAATGATAAATCAATGTCTCAACTTGATTTCAAATCCTATTTAGCAGTTCGTCTTATCAAAACTGAAAGAACCCCCATAATTAGAAATTTTGCAACAGGTATCAACGAATTACGTTATGATAATATAGGGCATGTGGTTATCCATTGTTCTGAAAGAACTCGCAGGAAGTGTCGAATATGTCACAGTCAAACTGTATTTATCTGCAAGAAATGCAAAGTGCATTTACACACTGCTTGTTTCGCAGTGTATCACACATTACCTAAGACTTAATACCCAAAATTTATGTTTATCAACCCAGTGATGCGTTTTCGCAACAGTCTAAAATGTCAAGTGTATTTTTTATATTGCTTTTTATATAAAATATTTGCATGTTTTTATTGTAATTAGCAAATTTTAGACTATTTGCAGTTGTTTTTTTAGCATTAATAAAGTTTTTTAAAAAATAAATATAATTATTGTTTTAATGTATCGTCCCAGTGATGCGTTTTCGCAACAGCTTTTTTTTTGCAAAAACTATTTAAAAAAAAATTTTTGGTCCCATAACATTGTTCTTTAGAGTAAACTAATAAACAAAAAATAGACATTTCTTTATTTTTCGCTTTATATTTACCCTTGGGCATAAATGGGTTTAATTGTGTTTTTTAGAGGTTGTGAATGATCGTAAACTAAAAAGTATAAAGTGTATTGAAACCACTAATTTATTCCACTAATTGGGAGGTTCTGAATGAAGCTTTAGTAGTTGAAATTTTGGTTTTATGTAAGCAATTGCAACTAGATGTTCAACAGGGTATTCTGAAAATGGTATTTTTTTGCGAGTTAGTAAAGAAAAATTGTAAAACAAGTAAAACTGCAAAACATTTTTCGAGTTTTTTTTGTAAATATTATGTGAAAATGATTTTTTTGTTATAAAAATAACAATTTTGAAAATGAATATTAGCTTTCTAAAGTAAACATGTCTTCTAAACATCAATAATTGTATTTAATACGTTTAACGGAATTTGAAATCTTCTTGTTTTCTACAATTTAGAAGCATTAGAGTGATTAGTATATCCAGTTAATTTACAGTTATAATAATTCAAAATATGAAAATGTATGTTAGTGTACATATACAATCAGAACTACAAGATTTTCGGCCTTCAATTGTCTATATCTGTTTTAACTTTTTAGACTAAATATAAATAACGGATGGTCCGAAAATTTTTTAGTTTCACTATATACGAGGAACAGATTTTCTAAATGCATTTTGTCCATTTTCAACCAAAGGTGGCATTGATAACTACATACACAGAGTGACAATATTATGTTAGAAACGACGATGTACATCCATTTTATCCCATTCGAATTAAATAAAGAAAATACCTTAGATTTTCTGTGTTGTATGTCGAACAAACAGAAATATGTTCTTGTGCCTAGTGGACTTACTGCTGTTTGTCATTGCCAGATGAAGTGTTTTTTTGAGTACTACAACTTCTCTATTTTTTAATAACACTACTCAAAATAATGAATGGAACTATGATTGGGGATCATATAGTTGGGAATATAGACCGTGGTAGCAGAAAAAGAAAGAGAAATCTCACGTCTAATGGCCAGTCAACAGTTTTTTTTATTTTTTTTCAGATATCATCATAACTAATAGATTTTTCGCATGTAGGTGCAATATTTTTATGTTTTTATCCATTTTTCAAAGTTTCTTGCAGAAACCGTTGCAATTTTTCTTTGTTTGACAAAATTCGAAAAAATAGATAAAATGGGTCTAGAAAGTCTGCTAGATGATTGATAAATTTAATGTAATGTAATCTTGCGTATAATTGTACTTAATTTACTATTTACTTGAGCTCTGTTCATATATGCCTCTTTAAACACATTAATAAACAAAAATATGCCAGGAAAATGATTAAAAGATGATACTCACATTAAAGTACAGTGGGCTGCTGTCAAAACCCACGTATTCGAAATCAAAGCTACTCCGCACATATGTCTATGCCAATATTGAAGAGAACCTTGGTACCTATACGATGGAATATCTACAGGTGAACCGCCCACAATTCTGGTATCATTACTTATGGGTTTAAACTTGGCATGATATGAAATTATATCATTTTCTAAAAACAGGGAAAAGTATTAACAAATTTTTATAGTAATTACTAAACTAGTAAACCTACCATTAAACATTGACGCGCATTTGGTACCGACGAAAATCAGGCAAAGCACTAGTATTTCTTTTACAACCATTTTTGATTTGGTTACTACTCTGTAGGTTTCGGACTAAAGTTCTCTAACGGACTAAGTTTGTAAATTAATAACAGTGATACTTATTCCCTGATCGCATTCCTGATATTTAAAATAGTTTGTTTTATCGGAATTTTTATTGGGACATAATTCGTTTCCGGGATATGGATTAATTGAAAAATGTTTCATATTTAGAAAGCAAGGTTAGGGAACAGATACTGTCCCGTTATACAAGGCGAGCCTTAAACAGTGCACATATTTTTCGGGTGGCATATTTCGGTCCCACTAACACGATCCCAGTAACAGTTGGTCTCTTTCGTGAAAAGTGATTCAAAATTTCGTGCTTTTCAAAAATGTGTTAAATTTTTTTTTAATTTTCAGTGAGAAAACTTTATGATAGTATGGCGACACATATAGGTAGTAGATAAAGACTAGAAGAACGGAAACACAGAGAACATACAGTAGTTCTCAAAGTTAAAGCAAAATATAATATTTTCTTAATTTTCAAAGTAAACTATCTCGACTATAATGGGCCTATTTGAAAAATCGGGAACGAGAAAATATATTATGTACTTTATCGAGATCTACTAACCTTGAAAATATTTGCATTTATTTAGGGCTCGTCCTAAAAATATCGGGTGCGTCTCAAAGATGACTCACCCCTATAACTTTTTTATCTCTACAGAAAAAAAACGGGATTTGGTATGTTAATATTAGGGGATTCAATCCCGGACAATTTTATGTTGTCGGGATCCCGGGATTCTTAACCCCGAATCTCGGGATCCCGGGATTCAATCCCGGGATTTCAGTAATAATTTTACCAATGTTACTTTCAAAGAACATTTTATTAAAATTAACGTTACTTACTTAAAACAAAAACGAAGTCTTTGGAACACAAAAATAAGTAAATTTTCTTCTTAAACAACATTAAAAAAAATTAAAAATCTCAAACAAAACAAAAAAGAAACTGGACTGATAATATTATTTCATATTTTTAAAAAAATAGCGCAAAAACATTATATTGTCTATTGTGTCATCTCCCATAGCAGAACGAAATTTTGTAACTATCAAGCCGGCTGACGAAAAACACCTTTCCGATTCTACACTTGTAGGCGGTATTGTACTTAAAAAATCAAAAGCTAGTTGTAAGTTTGTTCCACGTTATCCACTCTTCTGGAACGTATCCATTTCATTTTATATTTGGGCTTCCAAGTTTTCAGTTTTTGTTACTGGTGGCACTATCATTCGATTTGACATTTTTTTGATTAACGCTTCATCTAGCCTCTCCGAAAATGACACGTCATCATTTAAGGCCTGGTACCTGTTCTGAATAGTAGCAATTGGCAAATCTTAATCCTATTCCGAACTATCTGAAGAATCTAATATGATTTTACTTGTTATATCTAGTCGTTTTAAGAGGTTTGCTACTTCTTGTTTCAAAAGTTTTTTATTATTCCGGGAATCACCGACGAACGGGAATCACCGTTTTTGCATATACAACCTTAAAAATAGCGTTTACTGTATTATATAAAATCCCGGGATCTGTTATTATTTTCCCGGGATCCCGGGATTGAAAATATCCGATAAAAAACGTCGGGATCCCGGAATCCCGGGATCCCGAAATTCCGGGATTGAATCCCCTAGACTTAATATATTACATAAATTAGAATTGTTTGACGTATTCAATTGCTTTTAGTCACTTCCTGTTTCACCGGAAATGACTACAACTTTTCATTGTTTAACGAGAAATATTAAGGAATATTTTGGCCTAAAAAGTGGCTTAAGAGAAAAAACTCGGACTTGGTTTACAATAATCAGATGATAAGCCGGATTTTCCTAGTCTTATATTCAACGAAAAATTTTTTTTCGTTTAAATACCTGAGATAGATAAACAGGACCTTCTTCCTATTAGTCAAGATACTTTTCACCTTTGAAAACAAGTAAATCACCATCATCATCATTCTCAGCTTATTCAACCATTTCCAGTTATGGTGTTGCCTCCCTCACATTTATTTAGATACTCTCTTTGTAGTTGGGCCCATTGTTGTCTATTGTTGGCTATCCTGGCCCAAGTTATCCCTGCTAATTTCCTAATGTCATGGTTCCATCTTAAGTTTGGTCTTCTTACCATGGTGTTTGGTACTATGCTGTAATTTTTGTAATGCATTTGTTGTTCGTCCTTCTTGCCAGGAAATCCATCATCCATTGCCACTTGAGGGATTTGATTCTGTGGATGACATCTATTACCTGCGTCTTTTTGTCGTATCCACTCTATTCTTTTACGTTATTTTTACGTTTCGTTCCATTGAGCATTGTGCGACCTGCAGTTTCCTTATAATGTCCGTTTTAAGTGTCCAGGTTTCGCATGCGTAGTTCATGACTGGTAGTACACATCGGTCGAATATTTTCTTCTTTAGAACACGTAAATATCCTTTGGAATTATTTTTAGTCTGACAACAATATAATCACAATTTCTTAACTGAAGTGTCAGAGAAAAATTTAAAGTTGTTTATAGTAATATCAAGTAAAATAGTTTAAGCCAACATAACATTGAAATACCAAACACTTAAAAAGAATTTTTAAAGACAGTAAGGCAGGTAACGTTGTGGCATAATATCACGGGTTAATGAAGTTATTAGGCTTCAGTAACTAAAAATTATGTATAAAATTTATACATAAAGTACGTTGTAGAATGTAGAATGTAGAATGTAGAATGAGTGGGAGGGGGGTTAATCACCGCGACCTTACAGATCTATTGTGCCCCTCTTTTTTAAGTTTGGTTTAGTTTAACTCATCGTACAGTGCCGGGGCTTTGACAAAAGCAGTATCTGGGAACGTTTTACATCAGTCGTACCAAATTTTATGGCACGAATGGTTGTCGTCTCGGCGCAGTCAGTGATGAGGTGTTCTGGTGTTTCCCTATTTTCCCCACAGAATCTGCATTCGCCATTTTTTCTTAGCTTCAATCTACTGAGGTGTTCATTGAGGAAACCGTGTCCTGTTAAAACCCCGTAACAATCCGAAGATTGTTCTTACTTAAATCAAGGAAAATCTTTGACTTTTTGCCGTGTGCCTCAGAAACTTCTTCGAGTGTCTCAGACTGTTGCAGGATTCCCATTCCAGGTTACGGATGGAGTTTTCCAAGTTCTGTTTTTAGTTGGTTTTCGCTTGAAAAGCAGAACGATTCTGGTCCAGTTAGTGGAGTGTTCGCTCTTTTTCTAGCTAGATCATTTGCTTTCTCATTACCCTCTATCTTTGGATGAGCTAGAACCCATAGTAGGAGGACTTTGTTTTCTTTGCCTAATTCGTTCAGCTTCTCTATGCATTCTTTGACCAACTTCGATTAGGACGTTACTTACTTACTTACTGCCGTTTCTCGCTGACGAGTATTTGACACGCATCAGAAAATGGTTACGCAAAGCGTTTTCTTTCATGAACTTTTCTGTGACTGAAAAGCCCGATACGTGATGTTATCTCTCTTCCGCACTCCGGACAATCAAAAATCTCATTACTTTGTTGCCTCTATACTTTTTGGTTGTCGTTGTTAACTGAGTTTATAATTCTCCTCCATTGCTTTGTACTGTGCGCTGCTTCCTCCCACCGATGCTGCATACTTATCCCTTTTAAGTTTTCATGGAAAACATCCTTATATCTTTTGAGTTGTCCACCCAGTTTCCCCTTACTCTCTACAAATTCACCGTAAAGAAAAGATTTCGATAGGCGGTTTTCTTGCATCCAGTATACGTGGCCAGCCCATCTTAAGATTTAGTAGATTAGTACATTAGTCGTTATACTAAGGTGCTTATTTTTACTTCATATTCCTAGTGTCCTGGGTACAGGGATCCGAAAGTCGCATGAGCAAAAGGCATATGGAATGGTCAAACAAGGCTCATCATTGCCATTCATAAGTCCAGAACACTTATGTGGCGCTTCAAAAGCGGTACAAGAATGTCCATAAAACAATGCGTGATCAAAAAATCTCTAGAAAAGTAGGTCTAATCTTTTACTTCTCCTAAAGTTTCCATGTCTAATCTTTTACTTTTACTTTTTTTACTTTTACTTCTCCTAAAGTTTCCTTTCCAACTTCTACTTCTTCTAAAGTCTAATCTACTATTTAATAAGGGAGTAATGATATAGAAAATATATTATATGTATATTAGAAAATACAGACAATGAAAACTTAAAAAAAATATTCTACGACATTAAACAAACACTTGGGTTTCTTAAGAAAGTTTTGGTTCTAACCTAGCCTCCCCTGCTTATCAAAGTATTCCTATCTCCCCTAGTCTAAAATATAAAGTTTAAATAAAATACAAAACTTCAGTACATAATATTCCACTGATGATTTATTTCTTCCTAATATCAAAAGGGATTAAAAATTGACGATTAGACAAATTTAAAATTAAATTATAGGGGGGATTTAAGTATAATTACACATTAACAGATCGAATTTCAAAGTAATCTTCAAGATGTGAAACGTGATATTTGTCTAGGGATAACAGTGGGGATATTTAGAATTTTTATATCTGATATATATTTATCAATTTAAGAGACATATATTCTGACAATAGTTAATACTAAATATATTTAGAGAGAATATTTATGTGGATGATTTTCTATACTAATATTTTTAAGTGCTAAAAATTTTTTTTTAATGTACGCATACAGAGTGTTTCAAAAAACATGTGCCATCTCTCATGGGGAGATTGCTCACGTAAAAATAAGATTTATTTTTCATATCAACATAAGTCCGATTCTGCTTTGTTTCGTAGCTACTGGGTGTTAAACTCTTAATATTTTTTCGATTTATTATAATTTTCTTCCAAGTACATTTAGCGCTTTGAATGAAATTTTGAGGGCAAAAGTTACTATAAATGCGACATATTTTAAAGCTGAAACAGTGTCGACATATTCACCAGAGACGTGCATATGGGTTATCACTGGAATATTTAAAAAAAAACATGTACGCCACTGACTTTTTTTTTGTTAGCGAAATAGTGTAAGCAATTTAATGCCGATTAAAAGTTGTCTCTTGATATTTTATCGATTTCGGCCTCCTTGATGAGATAAAACGCAATTTTATTAATTTGCCTTGTTCCAAGTCTAATAGCAACCTTTAAAAAAATTGAATGTCATTAACTTGAGAAAAATTTAACTCATCATCAAAATCCTATAAATAAGGGTATGGAAATGCATACTTTTAGTGTTACAGAAGGTTCAAACTTTTTAAAATTAGGTTTTTTGTAATTATCATAAATAATATTATTTTTTTTTATTTGAAATTGCTCTAGGTTGGACTAATAGTAATAATAACTAATAGTAATAATATTTAATAATAAATTAGGTAAAATATATAATTTATTAATTTCATTTTTATTTTAATTTTAATGATTGTGATTAATAAAATTGCGTTTACCTCATCAAAGATCAAAGAGGCCAAATTCGACAAAATATCAAGAGATAACTTTTAATTGGCATTGAATAGCCTACACAATTTTCACAGCAAAAGAAAAAAAGTCAGTGGCGCACATTTCTTTTTGAAAAATTATGTGTTATAACCCACATGCCTGATGAATTTATCGACACTTTTTTAGCAGTAAAAAATGTAGCGCATACAGTAACTTTTACCCTCAAAATTTTATTCGAATCACTAAAAGTACTTGGGAAAAAATTATAATAAATTTTTTGAACGAAAAAAACTGCTTGTTACAAAAATTTGTATCGCCTAAACGTCAAATTTAGTGGTTACCACAACCACTGCGATATAAAGAGTGTATATGTTACGGTTAATGTCGACATTACCCGGTTAATCTCGAGAATAACACACAACAAAACAACCAAAAACATAACCTAACCCAAACATTAACATATGTTAATGTCGACATTCACCGGACATCGGACTTTAACCGTAACGTATACATGTGGCTATCTATTTCATACATTAAATTGTTTAAATGTCGTATAATATTGGCGATTAAAAAAGTATCATAAATCATTTTTATCAAATGGAAACCTCATAGTAAAATGTTTTTTTAATGATAACGTTACTTTGTGACTATACATATTCCTATACCGAAAATAAATCATTAGTAGGTAAGTTATTTAAGATTTAGTCTTAAAGCGTATAAGTTTCTTGATTTTAACCAGTAGCATATGACTTTAAACGTCAAGCGGTGTAGAACAATAAATCTGGCCATGTCATAATGTGACACTTTGTTAAAAAATCAGTATGTCATCGATCATCCTTTCCAAGCCAACTTTGCGCGTTTTTTTTTTCGATCGTCCGTTATATTATTAATATTATCAATTATTAGATATCACTAAAGGGCGGAAATACAAGATATATTTTTATAAATACACTTTATAAAGTTTTAAGCAGGCAGTACTTATACAAAATTCAAATAATTCGTTTTCTGACAGAAGGAAATCAATTGTCTGATTGTTTGACACTTAATATCAAAGGAAGCTAGATAAAATCAAGAAAAATATACGCTTTAAAAGTGTTTTTTTCTAGATTTAGATTTATTTTACTATAGGAACATGTATTGAAATGAAAATCCTTTTCAATAGTAAAATAAAAAAAGAAGGTTTCCATTTGAAAAAAATGATTTACGATGATTTGAAATCGCACAATTGCATGACAGCTACGGTTAATATTATATGACAGTCGAACAATTTAACTTTTGAATTAGATAGCCGCATGTCTTCTCTTTCTATCACAGTGGGCGTAGTAAACACTAAATTTGACGTTTAGGCTATGCACATTTTCTTGACAGTTTCTTTCGCCCAAAAATTTTAAATCCTTTTTTTCTCAAAAATGGTTAATGTTAGGTGTACCAACTGGTAGACATTTTATCTGTGTGTTTAAAATTCTATCACGGAATTTATATCTTTACCTTGCATTTATAGTAATATAATATACATAGGTATAAGTACTATACCGGGTGTCGCATCGTCGAGCGGGACATAGGAAATCCCATGTAAATTTTAATGGGGTTAATTATTGACTTCTCTAATTATTTTAGAGAATAATTCTATTTAGGTTTATTGAAGAGCACTAAAACCCACATTCAAAAGAATAACTTTAGATATTTTTGATTAGCCCGTTTATGAGTTATCGCCGATTTCTTTTTAAATATTTCTCCTTTCTTATGGCCCTGTATTTACTTATAACCACCAGTCAAGGTAAAAGATAACTGTCAAATGAAGTTGTCATTTCAGAAATTTATCTATTTAGTGCTTTATTATTATTATTAAAAACTCATACCTACATCGAAAATATTAGCCAAGAAAAAGTATTGATGATTAAATGGTATTATCAAGGAAATAGTTATCAAAAGGTGTCGGACATGTTTGCTGCTTTGTATCCGAATAGACCGATACCTGATGGAAAATCTACAATCGCAAGGAATATTCAGAGATTTGAGACCAAAGGTACCCTAATAAACAACTGCAGATGTGAAGCAAGGCAGGAAGAAAGAGAAGATGCAAGAAATGATACCGACTTGGAAGTTTTATTGTGCGTGGAAGAGAACGAAGGAAAGATCAGCACAAGGAAACATGAGAATGAAATAGGAATAGATCACACTATAGCTAATTTTGAAACGACATAAATACTATTCCTTCAAATATGAAAAGCACCAAGAGCTACGAGATGGGGACGAAATACGGCGGCAGGCGTTTTGTTTTGATATGATATGGAAAGAGCAAACAGGGATAGGGAATTTTTAAAAAACATATGTTTCACTGACGAATGCACGTTTACCTTAAATAATGAACCCAATGTTCAAAATTATCGATATTGGAACAAAGAAAACCAACACAGGTTTGTCGAAACAAAGACGCAATATCCACAGAAAGTAAATGTTTGGGCAGGGATATTCGGACACAATATTATCGGGCCATTATTTCTTATGCGAAATTTAAATGCAGAATATTATTTGGAACTACTCGAAAAGCGTATTTTACCTGCTTTACATGATGCCGCTAGGGAAAATTAGGAAAAGCACTAAATAAGTAAATTTCTGAAATGACAACTTCATTTGACAGTTATCTTTTACCTTGACTGGTGCTCATAAGTAAATACAGGGCCATAAGAAAGGGGAAATATTTAAAAAGAAATCGGCGATAACTCGTAAACGAGCTAATCAAAAATATATCTAAAGTTATTCTTTTGAATGTGGGTTTTAGTGCTCTTCAATAAACCTAAATAGAATTATTCCCTAAAATAATTAGGGAAGCCAATAATTGACCCCATTAAAATTTACATGGGATTTCCTATGTCCCGCTCGACGATGCAACACCCGGTATAGTATGCCCACTGAAGGAATATGTAATTTCCATATACAAACTAAAATATATAGGAAACTGAAATGATACCATCTGTTGGAGAATTCAGTGGCGCCATGCATCGGGTTGTTACACAACTTATGATACAATTTTATTTTATTTTACAGGAAACTTTACATTTTAACGATAGGTAACTATATTGTTGCGTCGACTCTAGCGCCATCTATTATCAATTTTTGGAACGTAATTTATTTTTTTGTACAGAAAATAGATGATTTTTCTTCTATTTCCTATTTTTTAATAAGAATAAGTTACTCTAAATGCGACATCGCTCCATTATATCGTATTGTTCTCAAACAGGTGACGTTTCATTTAGAATTAACTTTTTCTCATCAAAAAATATGAAATAGATAGAAAAAACAGCTATAGTTAATAAAATAAAAATAATTAACTGTGTGGATATGTTGAATAATTATTATTAGTAATAGCTTTATTAAAAAAAGTAAATAATACAAATTATACAATAAATTAAATTTCTTCTTCAGACGAAGGCTCGCACGGCATTGCTATACTTAACTTGTTCATATAAATACAATAATAATTATAAATCAATACAATAGCATTAAATAATATAAAATACAACTAACAAAGTTTTGTCGCGAACTTATTCGAAGCGCGGCGAAAAAATGTGAATTGGATCAATGGTATCTATGTATAAAAATGCAGACCAAGCGAAGTAACGCGAAGAATCAAAATACATGCAATTAATCCAATGACATTTTGGCGCTTCGCAAAAGTTTAAAGCATGATGAGCACTTGAGCGAAGCGCGCCGAAGCCGAAGCCATGCGAAGCACTGTTTTTCGCACGCGATGGATAATTAAAGTTGTTTTAACCTGACCTTTTTAATTTTAGTATTATGCGTAGAGAAATATTATCTATGTGACGATTTGATAAAAACATTGGATTCATAGCGTTAATATAAAAATGCCTTTTATCTACATTTTTCGTCAATTTCCACCCAGGTGTTGTCTCGTCTCAATTCATTATGATAATTTGGATTCTCAACATAACTCTTTGTAGCTCTGTATAATCATAATGAATGTTTCATCATCCTTGATCTCAGTAATTAAACTGAATTCACAGGTTCTACGATTCCTTTGTTATGCTTGAGATCTGAAACAAATAAATATGTATAATTATGTGACACATCAAAAAAACCTCGAGTATGGTTTATAGGAGGAAAAAATTAAAAGTTGATGCCGTTGAAGGGCTCTAAAATCTCAACAGAAATTGGCTATGAAGTTTTTATCTTAGTTTTTAAGTTAACACAAGCATTATTTTTCATAAGAAATAATTATGGTGTTTATATGCCTTTTAAAAATAAGCAGGATTCAAAAACAATTGCTAATAAAGCAAATTTACATTTTTGAGGAGTATGCACTTATTATATTTTTTAATTCTTACCTAACTTGGTTGTAAACAACTGCCTGGGTTAAATTCTTAAAAGAGGTCTTACAAGAGACAGATATTATACCTCACTCACAAAAACTGCATCATCTGCACTCTGGAAGATTCCTGATTTGGGTTATCTGATCCTTTCTCTAAAATGATAGATACAATTTAAAAAACCTAAAACGATAATTTTAATAAACCAAATTCAGTTTGGATTCGTAATACATATTTAACATTTTTAATAAACTTTGGAATATCTAATAATTGAATCACTCTCAGCCAAATTAAAGTAGCCAGTGCCATAACTTGTTTATTTACAGCTCAATTAAAATATTTGTTGTTATAAAGTTGATATGATATTTTTTTTAAAATAATGTTCATCTTCATTACTGAATATTTTGCGACATTAATTTGGCCTACAGTGTAGGTACCTACCCTTTTCAGTTACTGCTTTTATCTCAGTACGTGTCTAATACCAACGAGAGAGTGGTCCATCAACAAGTTGTACAACAAATGTTTGTCTTTAAATACAGGGTTTGTACCTGGATCGACATCACTGGACACCAAATTACCAGTAGGTTGATCATCTAAAAGATTATTTTAATTTTATTAGATCAAAATATCTGAAAACGTTCTTTATTTAACTAAATGCATATACTTACCCATATGAACTGGTGTATACAAAAACTTTAGAATTAACTTCTAAACCTCTTTTTATTCCAGGTACGATCTTGATTACAAAAATGTAAATCACAAACTCTATAAATCTTTTAAATATCTTGCTGTGTTGTATTTTCCATTTTAAGGTTTCGCACTTGATATCACTTTTGAAATAATGTAGGATCGTTCTTCGAGAATGTATGTCTTTTGGAAAACAAATCCGGCATCGGAACAACATAATTATGAAAGGGTTTACGGCCTGATTCCATCATTGTTTTTAATAAAAAGTTTAAATAATCACTAAAATTCCACTAAAACTTTTTTCGATTTTTGACGGTACATATTATTTGATTAGAACTGACTTGATTTGATTTGAACTGCTTAAATATTTTCGCCTTAAGCGCGACCGGTGGTTCGTCACAAAACTAATAAATTTGTGTATAACTGGTTGCGGTAAAAAGGTCCTTTCAAAGATCTCAATTTCAGTTTCCCATAATATTTTAGTTTGTATATGGTAATTTCGATACATGACATCGTAGAATGTAAAATGTTTAGGAGGTTTCTCCCATACAATCTACAATCTACAACAATAAACGGATGCTTAAACTAGGGTTGTCCCGTCCGACGATGCAACACCCGGTATACTATATGATCGAAAAAAAACGGCGTCAGCGATGGCGATTTTTTTTTCGATTATACGGTATTTGTGACGTAAGTAGTGATGACACAATCTGTATACTACAGCAGACTTATTTTATGTGTATTGTGATAAAATACAAAACTTGAGAATTATATTTATATAAGATATAGAGATAAAATGAAGGAACAAAAAACGAGACGATAAAAAATATAAGTCGAAATTACATTAAGGTTTTTTCCTCTTAAATCAAGTACCACAAAATTAGATACTTTAAGTTAAATTTTCGAGTATAGGTAAATAAATTAATTATATATCCTTTTAGACTTATTGTATATTATATAAAGATGATTATCATATCTTATGATAGCAGGTCAATTAGAAGACGAGAGGGCATATAAAGCTGAGTTTTTATATATTTGGATAGTGATGAATGTAAATTTTCTATGAAAGTTTTTTAAAACAGCTGCTATACAAATATCTAAAAATGAAACTTGCGTTACCTGTTATATTGGTTTTATTCCAAATATATTTTTCTTTAGGTATGTAGACATTTTCTAATTAAGTAATGATTAATGCTTAACTTTTTACCAACATTATTGCTAAGATGCCTAAGTATATGTAAACCCACCTATATGACGCCCATGAATTTTATCATATCCACATTACAGAACTACTTAAAAAGAGGTGTTTAACCAGTTATTAGCTCAAATCTTTTGTACAGGGTGGGTCAAATTCGACGCTCTTAAATGGAAACACCCTTTTCTATAGGAGATGGACAAAAACTAATATCGGTGTCTGGAGCTCAATTTTTGTCAAAAATATGATGGTGAAAACCGCATATCGATATCTGTTACCGTTTCGGAGTTACGGGGTGTTTTTCAAAAATATGCATTTTTAATAAATCGCGGTAACTTTTTTGCTATGGAAAATTTTCTATTTTTATGAAAATATTTCCAAAGTACCTTTTTACGTATAATTTAATGGTTTAAGTATAATTTTTTTAAAATTAATAATTTAAGAATTATCAACAGAAAATTTTATTTTTTATATGGGACACCCTGTATATTTTTAGTTTATTGAAAAGAATTTAAAATTACCTTTCCAAAAATATAACACACTTGATATTTTGGTCGATTCCTCTTCGAGATAGAGAGTATATAAAAATTTACCCGCTTTAAATAAGTAGGCTTTGAACGGCACCGGCTATAATGCAAAAAATTCAAGCTGTGAACATCAATTAAAACGAAAATAATATTTGTTATGAGAGATGCAGAATTTTATAACAATTTAAAATATATTTAACCAACATCAACACATTTAAACTATATCTAATAATAAAAATAAATAGCAAACCAAGACATGAAATTTTGCTACAGGTGTTCGACATATCGACCGTCTTCTGTTATGGACAGACAGGGCAGTTTTTGAATATTTCTCACGGAATTCATTAACTCAGTGGGGGTGAAAGATACTCTCTCATAACTGCTAAGTATTTCTAATTCTTGTCTAGATTATACGGAATAAGGAACCTTTCTTCTTCCGCAAATATATCCATAGGGTTAGATCCATGGGCAGTAAGTCAGGCGGCCTCGCCGGCCAACGGCTGGGATCTTAGTAAGCTATTCAATTATTCTTGAAATTGGCTGCAAAAATTTGCTGATAACTTCAGCGTTCAGAGGCGGTGCGTCGTCTTGCTGGAAAAATATGTTTTCGAGTTCCATTAAGGGCATATCAGCAATAAGGGGTCCAAAGCCTACTAGTTAAAAGTGGCGAACTTTTAAAAATTCTGTATTTCAAAGGGGATTATATCAAGTGTGCTATATTTTTGGAAAGGTAATTTTAAATCCTTTACAGTTAATTAAAAATATAGAGGGTGTCCCAAATAAAAAATCATATCAATCATTTTTCTGTTGATACCGTAAAATGGGGGGAATAGAAACATAGTGGTGAATAGAAACAAAATTTCTGAAAAAAATCAAATCACGATTAAAAATATTCAAAGTAAAAAGAGTCGACATATCTAATTTTTCTATCATTGGTAATACACAATAAAATGTAAAAACTATATTTTTATCTGTGGCAGCACAGTTTCTGTCAATCAGCTCATCAATAAATGTGAGATCGATTTATCAGCTATTTTGTATGGCGCGAAAACTTTATAAATAAAATATTTATTTTTAAAGTAATACATAAGCTGGTACATGTAAGTTGTTATATTATATGTATTGTTAATTATTGTTAAACCTACTTAAATATGTAATAATTTACTGTTTCTAATCACCTTGTTGGAAATAGAATAGATAAAAACCTTAACATCAATGTGTGTTTCTATTCTCCCGAATAGCAGGTGAATAGAAACACAAATGTTATTTTTATTTAATATTTATATGCATATTTTTCAAAAATCAAATTATATTTATACTCAAAGAACAAACAAAGACCCATGTTTTAAAATATTCGGGAAAATAATACCACATATTTATCAACCGGTATATCGCTAATAGCCTACGAAACTGTTTCTATTCACCCCATTTTACGGTAACTCTTAAATTATTAATTTTAAAAATAATATACTTAAACGATTAAATTCTACGTAAAAAGGTGCTTTGGAAATGTTTTCATAGAAATACAAAATTTACCATAGCAAAAAAGTTACAGCGATTTGTTAAAAATGCACATTTTTGAAAAACACCCCGTAACTTCGAAACGGTAACAGATATTGATGTGCGGTTTTCACCATCATGTTTTTGATGAAAATTGAGCTCCAGACACCGATATTAGTTTTCGTCTATCTCCTATAGAAAAAGGTGTTTCCATTTAAAAGCGTCGAATTTGACCCACCCTGTACAAAATTTCTGCAGATCTACATGGTTAGGCAATAGTGCGTCGGGCATCTGTAGCTCCGAAAATAAAAAACCTGGGAATTCTGTTTAAGTGCAAACATTAAGTATGTACCTAGGATGTATTTCAGGAAAAAAATTAACTTCTAAAGCGTGACTCAAAAACGTGTTAGTGAATCGGAATATTTTTTTTAAATGGAACACCCTGTATATTATTTCATTTTTGGCTTCTTTTCAGATCACTTTACATAATCCTAAGATATTAGTAAATATTTCGATAATTCCAGAGATATTAATAAATAAATAAAAAATATATATTTTTCAACCTTCCTTAAAATATTACAAATACAAGAAGTCCTGAAATCAAAACTATATTAGGTATTTACTTTATACGAAATTTTTTTTATATATATTCAATCATACAGGGTATACAAAATTCTACGCCAAACGTTGTAAAATATAAAATAAGTTTTCTTTTTTTTTAATGGAACACATTTTTTTTTATTAAATGGACAATTAAAACGTGAACATTTTTTGCATTTAAAGTATTTCAAATTTGTTAATGGGTTCGCAAATACACGCAGTATTATTTCATATGGCTTTTTCAAAGGTAAAATACGAGAGAAAAATCATTGGGTGCCTTTAATTCTCCATTTATTGAAAAAATAATAAGGATAAAATACGGGTGCTCCATTAAAAAAACAAGGAAAATTATCTTATATTTTAGAAAGTATGGCGTAGAATTTTGAACATCCTGTATAATTTACGATTACCATATTTATAACAAAGTTGGTACAGACCATCTAAAGTGAGCTAATATAATTTTGATTTGAGGATAGTTCTTGTATTTTTAATAATTTTCTTAAGAAAGGCTGGAAAATATATGTTTTGTGTGTGTGTGTGTATTTATTTATTAATATCTCTGAAACTATCAAAATATGTTTTCTCATATTTAGTCCCATACTCACACTTCGCTACTTCACTTCGTTCCTTCCTCGCGTCCCTTCGTCCAAAAATCATATATTTACTATGGGAAAATGTCGATTTTATGCGACTGTGTGTTCCTTTCTCCTTCGTCAAAACGCTACTTCGTCCGTGTACTTCCTCGAAACGCTCCTTCCACGTACTGTCGGTTTTTGGAGGAAGTAGCAAAGGAATTATCACGAACACAAAAAAATATTAAAATATATAAAATATATAAATCGATCTTGGATTTCATTCGTAGTTGATTTCTTGATTCGGCAGTACGTCTGTACAGGGTGTCCCATTTTCGTGTGTTTTGCAAGGTTTCTCGTTTATGAGTCGAAATACAAAGATGCGGTTTTCACATTGCGCTGTTACTTTTTTATGAAACTAAAGATGTTACATACAGATATGTCCTAGCTATCCTACTTCCTAAAATACAGGGCGAATCTGAAATGATTGCATTTTTCGATCCCCTTTGTATCATAACTTATCGAAAAGGTGAAAACGGTCTCCCGTACAGTTTTTCACGTAGAATGCAGTGACGTAACTATTTCTTCGTTGGAATCTGTCTTTTTTTTAAATTGACTAAAACTTATATGTTTTTTTAAATACGATATTTTGTATATTATTTTATTTTCCTTGTTAACGAGCTTTCTAAAATACTTATTTTCATAAACGTGGTAAAAATGCATTATTTAACTTTATTACATAGTCGGCCGGTTTAAATTAGGTAATCAAAACAATCAACTAATTTATTCGACGTAAAATGTTGGTTATTGGCAAGTTATTTAAAAGCAGCACAAGTTCAGTTTCCGTGTAGTTCATCAAAATATCACGATGCAAAGCAAAATTATCTGGTAAAATTAAGTTAAATAAAATAAGAGCCGTTTAGCAGTTTAGCAGTACCTAAATAAATAAATATAGAGTATATTATAATTTTCGAAAGCTCATAACAAGGCAAATAAAATAAAAAATAATATATAGAGTGTCCTGTTTAAAAAAAAGAACATAAGTTTGAGACATTTTTCGAAATAGACAGCTCCCAACGAAGAACCACTTTCGTCACTGCCACTCTACCTGAAAAACGAGACACGGGCGGTGGGTAAGTACTCAATAGGTAGAACAAAACAAAAAATCAGGGTATCCAGTATATACCTGTACATTTAAATGAACAGTCTAATTTTATAAAAGGTATTTCCAACGACCGCATAGTAAATACCCGATATAATACCAGTAATATCAGAAATACGAGTATATCTACAATATTTCTTATATATATTGTAGGTATTATATATTGGTATATTTCTATTCCCGGTATTATACCGGGTATTTACTATGCGGTCGTCGGAAACTCCTTTTATTAAAATTAGGATGTTCATCTAAATCTACAGGTATATACATATATACCCAGGTTTTATTTATCAACAAATTGGGTACTTACCCACCGCCCATCACTGACCCTTTTCACCTTTTCGATAAGTTATAAGATAATCGAGATACAGAGGTTATCAAAAAATGCAAAAATTTCTACTGATTAAAAAATAAAAAGTAAAAGAAAGAAATAAGAAATAACTTTGAACTAAGAAGGCTAGCTAGGATAAATACATATTTATCCTAGCCTTCTTAGTTCAAAGTTATTTCTTATTTCTTATGTAGCATATTTAGTTTCATAATAAGTAGAACAATGATGTAAAAACAGCATCTTTATATCTCTACTCATAAACCAGAAACCGCATAAAACACACACAAATGGGACATCCTGTATATCTAGCAATCGCCAGTCGATATAAAAATAATTCACACACAATAGTCTAAAAAATGGAAGAAAAAAACAATATTGTCTTCATATTTGTTAAAAAATGAATGTCCATATTTATGTAGCGACAAAAATAAAAAAATAGAAATAATGTGCATGATGCATTTACAAAAATATCTGAAGAAATGGGGATTGACATCATTAACGTTTAATTAGTATGTCATATTTCATGGTTTCGATATAAATTACATAATAAACTTTACTCTATTGTTGACTCGCCTTGTACATTCATACTGATATACTTGTACATGATACTGAAATATTCAGATTTATTAAAAAAAATATATTATTAAAATTCAATTTTTATTTTTGACACGACAAAGAATTGCAGTTTTATAAAATAAAAATTATGCGCCTTTCGCATTTTTTAAAAATTTTTGAGGTTACTAGATATTTCGTATTAAACATGTAGCTGCTATATTAAAAATATTTTGTGGTGTGTTGTTGCATAATTGACTAATTTCCAAGCATCGAATGGATGAAGGAAGGAAGCGAAGGGACGAAGAAACGCGAGGAAGTAAGGTGAGGAAGGAGCGAAGTGTGAGTATGGGGCTTTTAGGGTTATGTAAAGTGATCTAAAAGGAAGTCAAAAATGCAATAATATACAGGGTGTTCTATTTAAAAAAACATCATCCCGATCCACTTACACATTTTTGGGCCAACATAGAAGTTAAAATATTTTCCTGAAATACATCCTCGTACATACTTTAGGTTGGCACTTACGATCATGTAACAAATATTCTTCAAATCAAAACTACTGGAGATATTTTTTGTTGCTCGGTGATTCTTGGTGTCTTTGTGCTTTTGATTCTTGGTGCCTAAATAACCTATTTAAAACCACTTTTCTATAAATGTTTCGATATTCTTAATATCTATTATATATATATATTTCAGCTACACCACTCAATCTAGAACAAAACAGATATACTATTGTGGGAGGTGAAAATGCCAGTATTTTAGATTATCCATATCAAGTAGAAGTTCTTTACTCAAATTCGCATTCTTGTGGAGGATCAATTTTGAATAATAAATTTATATTAAGTGCTGCCCATTGTTTCGGTTCTGCGTAAGTATGGTAGAGAGTGTTCAATATTTCCGAAATCTGCTATAGAGCAGAAATAATGTCTATCGCTTGGTGGCGGATTTATTTCTTAAATATAATTATGTAACGGTATTAAAAAATTATAAGGGTGGGCTACTTTTGAAAGGCACCCGGTATATAAAATAAAGTATCTAATTATTATAAAGGAGAAAGTGTAAGAAACATATATCACCAAGTAAATAACGTTGGCAACAGGGGTTACTTATACAAGGTGCTACAAATTGGAGGTACGAGCATTGGTATCTCGGTAACCGTAATAGATACGAACATGATTAAATTAGGGCAAAGTTGTGCTTTGGGATGTTCACCAAGATGCCATCAAAAAAGTTTTACAAATTTCAAGGATTGCTGAGTTTTTTGGAAAAAACTGATTTTTTAAAAATATTACTTACTTTAATTAATATTTTTTTATATTTTTTTTTTGTTTTGACATTTGAACACAATTTAGTTAAACTAATTTCAAGTCCGGCTCTGTTTTTTTTAATATTTAATCTATTCGTCGTTACAATATTGATTAGCATTCAAAATTAACAATGACGTGGGGAAAAACATTGAATACGGAAAATCAAATGCAATAAAATAATATCAAATAATTAATATAAATTAATATAATGTAATATAAACAATCAAATCATTTTCCCGGAAGTTGGACTGGAAATGGTAGAGCAATATAATGTCCAGCGAGGTTCCTGGACCTATCGCCAATAAGGAGCTGCATTACTTGACGTCATTTGTAAAAGTGAAATCAATTCATCTCAACATTTACAATAAAGAGTACAAAATGCATTCCGAAGTATAAGAAGAAAGTTCAAAGAGCTATAAATAAAAGTGAACGAAAAATAAATTTGTGCGATAGGGAGGGTGGTTGGTGAACATCGTGTTCGTATCTCATGTTCGTATCTACTACGGTTACCGAGATACCAATGCTCGTACCTCCAATTTGTAGCACCTTTTCGAACATGTAGAACATTAGAAACTAGTTTGTAGAAGTTGATTTATTTATAATAACTACGATTAATATTATGCATATTATTATATCGCCCACAGATTTCAAATTCACAATAAAAAAAGTTAAAAATAATATCTTTAAATTTCTGACCTGGATATTATTTATTTGAATCTTCCAATTGGCTCGATTTTTCTTATTCAATGTTAATTAGCGCTGATCAATATTGCTGGGACGAATTTGGGATGAATATAATCGTATTAAATAATTTAAGAAACCAAAGTCGGACTTGAAATTATTTTAAATATAATTAAATAGTTTTGTTGCTGTTAAGGTACCCAAAACAAAAAAAAGTATAAAGTGTGGCATATCATGGTATTCAGGAGACCGAGTTTTTTGAAAACTTCAAATAAAAAATGCAGGTCCGTATATAAAAAAATTAAGTTGGCCTCTGTAACCCACAAATTATCAGCTAATTTGAAAATCTAAAAATACTATCAGATAGCCCTAATAAAGTGGCTATGAGAATGTATAATTAGTTTTTTGATTTTCTAAACAGTAACGATAGGAAAAAATAAATTTGATTTTCAAAAAAATCAGTTTTTTTTTCAAAAAACTCAGCAATCCTTGAAATTTTTAAAGCTTTTTTGATGGCATCTTGGTGAACATCCCAGTATGGCAACTTTGCCCCAATTTAACCATGTTCGTATCTATTATTTATAGCACCTCAAATTTGTACATACATACTGCCATTACTCGCTGACGAGTAACACGCATCAAAAGATGGTCACGTAAGGCGTTTTCTTTCATGAGCTTTTCTGTGACTGAAAAGCCCGATACGTGATGTTATTTGCCTACCACACTCCGGACATTCAAAAATCTAATTGCTTTGATGCCTCTTTACTTTTTGGTTGTCGCTGTTAACTGGGTTTACAATTCTTCTCCATTGAGTTCTATTGTGAACTGCTTCTTTTCCTAACGATTCTGCATGTTAATCCCCTTTAAGTTTTTGTGGAAAATGTCCTTGTACCTTTTGAGTTGTCCACCCGGCCTCCTCTTACCGTCCACAAGCTCACCGTAAAGCAGAGATTTTGGTATGCGATTTTCTTGCATTCTGCATACGTGACTAGTGATGTAAAAATTCTAAGTAATCGTTACAAAGTAACAGTTACTTTACGAGGACTCGAAGTAACGCTTACTGTTTGAATTTAGGACTCGTTAATCGTTACTAAGCTAATTCGTTACTTTTGCGCCGGCAGTAATCGTAATCCCTGAAAATGCACGAACCGAGGACTCGAAACTCGGTACTGAAATATTCCTTACTTCGACGTAGGTCTAGTTGTTATCAATATGTTTATGTTTAAAGTGTTGACTTGACGCCGGCCGGTGTTTTGGATGGCAAATGTGTGATATTTTTATTACAATTATTATGATTGGCTCATGCCGACCCGGAGGCGGTCTGTCCTTTTGCCGTTTGTTGTCGCTTTTTATTTATAGAATAGAATTGTTTATTTAGATTAACATGTCTTAGATATTAATTAAAATTGGATTCACGTTAGTTACAAAAAATGTTAACATCTGAAAAAGCAGAGCAAATATTTTTCTTCTTCAAAAGAGAATAGATATTTCGCCACTGTAAGAAAATCTACAAAATAAAAATAGTAATTTTTAGTAAACACTGCTGCGTTAATCCAAATGACTTTTTTGAAGAGATGAATCCGCCACAGAGGAATATACATTTTTTTAATATTTTTACATTTTAACAAAAATATATACATTTTTTTTAATTTTTACTCTTTAATGTTTGCCTGTAATACAAAGAGAGAGAGAGAGAGAAAATATAAAAATATACTTTATATCTATTATGCATATATTTTCTTTGTTTTGATTTGTTTTCTTTTATTTTTAATTTTATTAATAGTACTTAGTTTTATTTAACATATTATAAAAATATTATACATATTATTAAAAACATATTATTCAGTACTTGAATACCGAGTATTGAAATTATCCTATTAAGCTCTTACACTAGAAGAAAGTAGAAACCCCTTATAGGTTAAACCGAGCATGTAACGAAGATCGCCGGGCACAATAAGTAACCAAGTTCCACGTCAAGCCTAAGTCTTCCAACCTGTACACAAAACAACGATTATAAAGTAACGATACTAAGTACCAAAGTAACGAGTAACTAAAGTAACGAGTCCAAAGTAGCGAGTCCTATTACCAAAAGTAACTAGTAGTTACGAGTCCATAAAAGTAACTAAAGTTTACATCACTATACGTGACTAGTCCATCTTAAGCGGGATTTTGTAACCATGACTTCAATACTCTCGCAGTTAGCTTTTTCAAGGACCGATACGTTTGAGACATGATGGAACCACCGGATTCTTAAAAGTTGTCTAAGGTGTCTCTGTTGCAACTTGTTTAATGTGCTCATGTGTCGGCGGTACGGCACCCAGATTTCGCTCCCATATAACATGGTGGGGATTATAGTTGCTCGGTACACTGCAAGTTTCGTTTTTGTACTTAATTCATGATTGTAGAAGACCCTGTCTTTTAATTTCCAGAATGCTCTTGAGGCGCTGCTAATCCTGTGCTGAATTCCTTGTGCTGAATTTGTAGCACCCTGTATTGGTGGCAAGTTTTTGGCAAAGTGTGCTATGTGCTTTGAAAAATGTGCGTAGTATGTATGGAATTGTCTTCATTGTGTGTACTCTGCCTATGGTTTATGTTTTGTTTTTTGTTTAATGTTTCGTTGATAAAATATGGCGGATATCGTTTTTTATTAACGTTTCTTTTATGTAGTTTATATATTAGTTTAATAAATTTATTATTTGACATCGGACATCGGACTTTAACCGTAACATATATACCGGGTGGTGCATCGTCGTCGGAAACATAGGAAATGCCATGGAAATTTTGTAACGTCCAAATATTGGCTCCCTTATTAATTTTACAGGTAAGTCGTAAATATGTTTTTAAAGGTATGCTCAAAGGGTATGCTTATGCTGAATACACGATAATTGTCACAAATTATAGGATGACAACTTAAGGTACATTGACACTTGCTTGGTTTTGCATAGTTACTTGTTCAGTTTTAATTTAAAATTGATGCAGTTTTGCTTAAATTACTTAAAACCGGCTTGTCCAAAATTATTCAAATTTGACATATGTATTCAGAATTCGTAGACTTTTAAAAAACTGGACAGTTCAAAATTTGCATGCGATTTCCCATGTTTCCAAATCTTGTTTAAATACAAACTTTTTAAAATAAGTATTTTAGACAATGGATGTGACGACATGTGATGAATATTTTATTTTATAGGCAAGCTAGCGATATTACAATAAGAGCAGGCTCCTCTTACAGTGCAAGCGGTGGACAAATATTGCAAGTGAAAACGATAAATGCTCATCCTGATTACGATCCATACACTCAAGAAAATGATGTAGCTGTACTTGAGTTGGCAACGGATCTTGTAAGTATTTGGCCTGAACATCATTCGAATGCATGATCGTATTCTAAATTATTTGTAATTCTTGTTTTTATGGGGGAATTTTGTATACCATAATACTAAAAGCGTTTACAATGTTTTATTTTTCTACAGCTATACCGGGTGCGTCTCAAAAGTGGCTCACCGCTATAACTTTTTTATTTTTTCAGATAAAAAAACGAGATTTGGTATGTTAGTACATGACACAAATTAGGATTGATTGACGTATTCATTTGTTTTTGGTCACTTCCTGTTTCACCGGAAATGACTACAACTCTTGATTTTTTAATGGCACCCTCGGTATCTTTTTACTTTATTCGATAGAAAATGACATTCTGAATAGAATGGCATCTCATATGTCAACTTTTAACATTCGCGCTTAATAAAAAGTTTTATTTTAAAATTCAATCTAGAAATTAATTTAAAATTCAATCTACAATTTAAAATTCGATCTAGGCTATGTTAAAACACTAATTCTTAATCAAGGAGATTTGGTCGTCTAATGTTTTTAGTGTCCTGGCCAGTTAGAAAATGCCCAAATCGTATTTTTTTATCATATCTCAATTTTCTCAAATGGAACGGGGGTGGCTCATTAGCATATTTGGAAAAAGCATTTTTTTACGAAAAATTTGATACCAGATACTTGGTATTTCGAGTCAAATTTTCGTTACGAACCGCAAGTTATGATTTCAAATAAACCATATGCAAAAATGTCAAAAGTTGACATATGATACGTCATTCTATTGAATAAAGTAAAAAAATACCGAGGGTGCCATTTAAAAATCAAAAGTTTTAGTAATTTCCGGTGAAACAGGAAGTGACAGAACACAATTGAATACGTCAATCAATCCTAATTTATATACTAAGATGCCAAATATCGTTTTTTTAACTGCAAAAATAAAAAACTTATATGGGTGAGCCACTTTTGAGACGCATCCGGTATTTAATTTTTAATATTTTTATTAAATCGTTTCTTATTTAAAAATTTGCGAAACTAAATTTTATTATACAGAGTAAGTCTTAAATTTTCCTTGATTTAAGTAAGAACAATCTTCGGATTGTCACGGGGTTTCTAACAGGACACTGTCTCCTCAATGAACATGAAAAAGTAAAATCTCAAAAAAAAACCTAAAACTAAAACCTTAAATAAATAAATAAAATAAATAAATAAAATAAATAAATAAAATAAATAAATAAAATAAATAAATAAAATAAATAAATAAAATAAATAAATAAAATAAATAAATAAAATAAATAAATAAAATAAATAAATAAAATAAATAAATAAATAAAATAAATAAATAAAATAAATAAATAAATAAAATAAATAAATAAAATAAATAAATAAAATAAATAAATAAAATAAATAAATAAATAAAATAAATAAATAAATAAATGAAATAAATAAATAAATAAATAAAATAAATAAATAATTATTCTCGATAGGGCTATCCCTGGTACAATTTAACAAAATTATCATAACCTTATTCTGTTGCAATTGGAGCTTATGAATGTCGCCCCTTTTGCAGGAAATCAACAAGGAGCAAGTGTAGGAAAAATGTGGATGTATTATTATTGTATTATATACAACACTTTTTGCCCATAATGATAAACTGGATACGCGATTAAAATAACCCATTTTTTCCCCAATTTTTTTGCCATGTAATCAAGATCACTGGAAACGTTCATTTTTTGGTAATTTTGATTGGCCTACGTAGCCCTGATAAAAACGAAGACGTTTTCTAAAATCACACAAAAGATAGGTACCCCAATCACTCTATGACTCTATGATACCTTTTTTATAGCCAGCAGTGTGTCCTGATACTATATTAATCTTTCACGCAATAAATGGTGTGATTTACTATAGATAACTTTCAATATTGAAACGATAAAATGTCAAATATGACGTGATTTTTTAAGCAATACATTATGACAATATGGAGAAGGCTCTTTTAATGTGATAACAATATCAGTTCGTAATACTACAGATTAACTTAAGCCTTAAGTTAGTCTGCATAGTCTGCATAAGTACATTTTGCGGTTGATATATCAAAAACTGATAAAACACTCAAATAAAAAATCAAGCCAAGTACTACATTAACTTATTAATAAATTCAAAAAGCTAATTGAGATAGAAAATAAGGTGACAGATTATGAGCAATCAGTATTATATCATTTATAAAAACAAGTGTTTTTATAAAAAATAAATATTGTAACGATTTTTTATGGTACTTTAAAAATAAAACGAATTAAATAGTTTCTCATATACAGGGTCCGACAATAGTGCGTCGGGCATTTGTAAAAAAATTGAGAATTTTGTTTTAAGTGCAAACAAAAAAGTATGAACGAGGGTCTATTTCAAGAAAATATTTTAACTTCTATAGGGTGACTTAATAAAGTGTGAATGGATCGAGATGATTTTATTTAAATTAATTTGATTAAATTGTAACATCCTGTATATATTTTTGGCTTCCTCTCAGATCTCTTTAGATAATCCTAAGATATGAGTAAATATACGATAATTTCAGAGATACTATTAAACAAATAAAAAATATATATTTTTCAATTACAACCTTACTTTAAAAAAGTATAAAAGTATTACAAATACAAGAACTGTCCTGAAATCAAAACTATTAGATATTTACTTTCGATGGTCTATACTTACTTTGCCATAAATATCGTAATCTTAAATCATACAGGGTGTTCAAAATTCTACGCCAAACTTTCTAAAATATAAAATAATTTTTCTTTGTTTTTTTTTTAAATGAAACACCCTGTATATTATTTTTAACTAGCTGGAGAGTTAAAAAATAAACATTTTTTGTATTTAAAGTATATCAAAATTTTTAATGGTTTCACAGATACATGCAGTATTATTCCATATGGCTCTTTCATTGGTAAACTACATTGGGTGGAGAAAAATCATTGGGTGGCTTCGATAAAAATTTACTGTGGAAAATGTCATATGAAATATAAAAACAAATATCTGCGAAACCGTTAAAAATTTTGAAATAATCTAAATACAAAAAATGTTTATTTTAAAATTTTCCATCTGTTGAAAAAAATAATAAGTTCCATTAAAAAAAAATATTTTATTTTTTAGAAAGTTTGGCGTAGAATTTTGAACATCCTGTATGATTTACAGTACAAAGTACAAAAGTAATATACCGAAAGTGCTATTTAAAAATCAGAAGTCGTAGTCATTTCCGGTGAAACAGAAAGTGGCCAAAACAATTGAATACGTCAATCAATCCTAATTTATGTCATATACTAACATATTAAATCTCGTTTTATTATCTGAAAAAATAAAAAAAGTTTTAGGCGTGAGCCACTTTTGAGACACACCCGGTATATCTAATCGGAGATAACATTTTCTCTATCCACTAATACTGGCCATTTAAATTGTATAATATACTTTGATTTGCACAGACGTATGGTCCTGGAGTAGCTCCAATTGAACTTCCTTCCAATACTACAACCTTTGTAGACGATCAGGCTGCAAATGCTACAGGTTGGGGCTATACTGTACGATACGGACCGTACGCAGCCGCCCAATTACAGGTATTGTATATTATTGTAGGAGAAAAACTGAATATTTTATTCTCTATTTTTTTAGCATATAACTGTCTCATTACTTACTACCGAGACTTGCAGATCAAAGTACTACAACAAGTATTTATACGATTCAATGATTTGCGCTGGAGAACTTGGAAAAGATACGTGCACTGTAAGTAGCATAGACTTAAAATAAAATATAGACTGAGCATCTCATTCATAAATAGCTGGAACATGCGGTCAGACACTGTCTTGTTATTGTTGTGTTATTGTTTTAGGTTATAACGAGTGCGACATGAGCGATAGATAGGTTGTCTCTGTCGTAACGGTCGTTCCCTGACGACTCTGCCGAGAAACACAACACTGTCTTTCGTTTCTCAAGTACACCTGAACTCTCCGTATCATAGCCGGGTAATTTTTTATTTTTAATGAAACTATAATTAAATTAAAAATATATCGTATTTAAACTTTTTTATATTTTATTAAGATTTAGGACAGGTTTTTAAATAAAACTTTAGAAAAAACAATTTAGAGTCCAAAAAGGATAAAAATAATAAAATACACGTTATAGAAGAAATTTTATAATCGAAATTAGGTAATTTTTGAAATTAATAGTAAATTATTAATTTTAGTCAAACATTTACAACCCCTAATATTAATCAAAACAGGATCTATTCCACAGATATAATAGAATCGGCGACAGGGAGAGAAAAAAAAACATGATTGTTATAATTTTTTTTCTGGTTAAGTGATGTCTTATTATGTAAATTAGAGAAAACATAAATCTGTTCCATTAAAGCAAGGAAGGTGATAGGAAGTGGATAAAATGAAAACTACATTTATTTAACTCGGTACTGTCTTTATTATACCGGGTGCGTCTCAAAAGTGGCTCTTCCCCATAATTTTTTTATATTTTCAAATAAAAAAACAAGATTTAGTATGTTAGTATATGAAGTAAATTAGGATTGATTGGCGCATTCAATTGTTTTTGGTCACTTCCTGTTTCACCGGAAATGACTATAACTTTTAATTTTTAAACGGCACCCTCGGTATATTTACTTTATTCGATAGAAAATGACACTCTGAATAGAATGACATATCATATGTCAATTTTTGACATTTTCGCATATGGTTTAATTGTAATTGTAACAAGCGGTTCATAACGACAATTTGACTCGAAATACCAAGTGTGTGGTATCAATATATTCACAAAAAAATGCTTTTTCCAAATATGCTAATGAGTCACCCTTGTTCCATTTGAAAAAATTGACATATGTATGATTAGAAATACGATTTGTACATCTTTTAACCGGCCTAGACAAGACACGAAACCTATTAGACTATCAAAACTATTTTTCCAAGGCTCCTTGATTAAAACTTAGTGAATTGAAAAAAACTGGATTGAAATTTAAAATAGGATATGTTTTTAAGCGACAATGTCAAAAGTTGACATATGATATGTCATTCTATTCAGAGTGTCATTTTTTATCGAATAAAGCCCCGTTCTCAGAACAGCGACTGTCGCCAGCGACACGTCAAGAGGACCAATGAGATTTGTACAAAATTCAAACAACCGTCAATTTCAAATTTAGTACAGTTCTCATTGGTTGTTTGAAATGCCAAACTGTGTCGCCCGCGACACGACGTCGTTCTGAGAACGGGGCTTAAAGTAGCAATATACCGAGGGTGCCTTTAAAAATCAAAAGATGTAATCATTTCGGTGAAACAGGAAGAGACCAAAAACAATTGAATACGTCAATAAATCCTAATTTATGTCATATACATACTAACATAGAAATCTGTTTTTTTATCTGAAAAAATAAAAAAAGTTATAGGGTTGAGCCACTTTTGAGACGACCCGGTAATCGGTGTTGTCATATTGTAAAGAACTTATCCTTATTAAACAGTATCCGACTTATAATTTAGTAGTATAAGGACTATTTAATACATCTATGGAATATTAAAACCTACTTTATTAAACTGTAGTATTAATATCTCAATATATGTGTATAACAAGAAAAAAAATATTGATAATATTAAAGACGTGACAACATAGGCTGGATGAGGAAGGCTCGGTCGACTGTACCCAGAAGTAAACATGTGTACAAAAAAGATTGTTTGTCCGCGTTGAGATGTAAATAGTGTAGTCTATATTTTATTTTAAGTCTATGGTAAGTAGACTATTACTACAGGGTGATTCAGGCTTCCGAAAAAGCTCTATATTAGGTTTTTGGTTTGTGAATTTTTTTCCAATTTTTTTACATAATATTTTTGTCAACATACAGGGTGATTCAAACCTATTTTCAAGCAACAACAAAGTTGTATATTTTTAAATGGAATACTATACAGGGTGGCGCACTTCATTTGCCTCGGTTGATTATACGAAAACGAAAAGATGTAGAAACAAAATTTTTGAAAGTATATGTAGAGAGGCAATGTGCCTAATTTAAAATTATTTTCAAATGTACATGGTGTGACAGAACTAAGATACATACCAAAGTTATATTTTTTCTTATAAAACACACACACCCGGTATTTTATTTAATTTTTGCATTCTTGGGCATAAAATAAGGTATTTATTATACAAGTTTAACATGTTTAAATACTTTGGTTTTTGAGATATTTAAAGACATTTAAATTAGAATTAATTCTTGTGCTGACTTTGAAGCCAGGGAAATAAACTTTACTAAAATATTTTATTGCTTCTTTAAATATATACAGGGGTATCCGAAAATTGCTGGTCTATTTTAAATATTTATTTTACATAAAAAATTATTTATTTCAAATACAGCACTTCGTATTTTTTTAAATAAATCAAAGCAGATTTAAATGCTCTTTCAAACTATATTAGGGTTTCCTATACTTATCTGGCTCAGATTTTGAATAAAAAGCGATTTTTCAACACAATCGCAATCAAGATGGCTGGTGTCGCCATGGCAATTTGCTAGTGACAGTTAGTGGCTGTTTTCAAAATCGGCATTAGTTTATGGACTTTATTTAAATGTATAACAGTGTAATTTTATTTAATTTACCTACAGTAGTTTAATAAGTCAGTATTTATTATTTTATCAAGAAAAATAAAGAAGTAGGTAGTTCTTTATTTTTCGTGATAAAATAATGACTTTTTATGACTTGTAGATATATCGGATTTTCTATAAAAGAATCATTAATTAATTAATTAAGGCAAATTCATTTTCTTCGCTTTCAACGACAGGTTTCTGCCTAATAGGTTTTTCATATACCACACTATCAGCTCTGTGAAATAGGAAAAGTAGTTTTTCAAAGGAGCGCTTGTTAAAAAAATTCCTGTTTGGATATATTTGAGCATGAACCCTTCAGCAGCCAACAAGCAATTGTCCTCACAAAATAAAATCACTAGTAACATATCCATTCCTTCCGCTAGCAGATACTGCTTCATTTTTCTTGATAAAATAATAAATACTTACTTATTAACCTTATTGTAGGTAAATTAAATTAAAATAAAAAAAAAAAAAACAGTGTACATAAATACATAGTGTTGCATTTGAAATAACGAAGTTTTTATGTAAAATAAATATTTAAAATAGACCAGCAATTTTGATACCCCCGTATATATTTAAGGAAACAATCAAATTTTTTAATAAAGTTTATTTCTATGGCTAGAAAGTCAGCACAAAAATTAATTCCGAAAATGAATGTACAAGGTGTTAACATTTTTTTTTATTATAGCATGCATATTTAAATATATTTAAATATCTCAAAAACCAAAGCTTTTAAACATATTAAACTCTTATAATAATTGCATTATTTTATGTCCAAGAATCCAAAAATGAAATAAAACACCGGGTGTTCCATAAGAAAAAATACACAACTTGGTATGGATCTTAGTTCTGACACACCCTATACATTTCAAAATAATTTTAAATTATGCACATTGCCTTCCCACATATACCCATAAAATATTTTGTTTCTACATTTTTTCGTTTACGTATATAATCAACCGAGGCGGACGTGGAGCGCCACCCTATATATTTTTTTAACCTAATGGATTTTCCAGTAGATTTAGATTTACGTTCCAAAAATACCATAATGCCATATACTATACGGAGTGGTTTTTGAAATATAACCGATTTTAAACTAAATTTACTGCTTATTTAAAGCCTTCTTAAAATTCTATACGAAAATTTGCACTCTTGTTTGATATATACAGGGCGAATCAAAACTAAATGTTGTATTTTTGTCCACTATTTTAAATGGGACACCCAGTATTTTGTATCACAATCAAACAAGGTTTTGTTTAATTTTCTTGTTTTATTATGCACTTCCTATATCTAGAATCGATTAATGCGAAAATTGTTTTTTTTTCGAAAACATAATATACAGTACCTCTGCTGGATCTGTGTCTATGAAAGAAATGCGGACAAAAAAACATTTAAATAAACAGCAATATATTTTATACGTCGACTTGACGAGTACGTCACCTCAAATCGCTCCGCCCACTCATTTTATTGGCTACTTGCAAATTTGTCGAATTTTTATTGATGGGACGCGTCGTCTAATTTTTTATGAAAAACATCGAGAGAATATCGTTTCCCCTCTTACGGATACCCCGTAGCTACAGAACGGACAGACGTACTGTAGAGGTTTTTTCGATAGTCTGAATCACTCTGTAGATAGAGATGTAAATTTTAAAATCCGCCGTTGTGTAAAATGGTTAACAGCCCGTTCACAGGGTAAATTTCGACACGAAAAAGCTGCAACAAATCAGTTTCAAAAAGACTTAAATCTAAAGCCTTAAGTCATTTCTAATAAAATCAAAATTATTTAAATCTCTAAAAGATATTTTCATCATAAAGATGTAAGTCTTATTGCCACTTCTAAAAGACTTAAATCTTTGACGTAATTCTTTTTCTATTTCGACTAATAAAATAAACCACAAATTATTTTAAAAATTACTCAAATTTTAAGTCTTAATCTTTCTTTTTTAGGGTGATTCTGGTGGACCTCTTGTGTCTGGCGGACTTCAGTTTGGCATCGTATCCTGGGGTGTCTGTGGTGCAGATGGATTTCCAGGCGTATATGCTAAAGTAACTTATTATCTGCCCTTTATTTATAATATTACTAATAATTGATTAATAAACGTGTAATTATTTTCCTATTTAGAATTAATTAAAAAATGTTGATATAAAATCAATAAAAATTATTGTTTTATTTGTTCGTTTTGTTCAGGTTAAACGAAACGATATAGCGAATGACAGCGAAAAAAAACTATAAAAACTATTGAATTTTAAATTGCACCCTGTACCTGTCGTTGAATGATGTCAGTCCAAAGACAATATGAAGAAACTTTTATATTACATATAACAAATAATATTACAGATGAATGATACATTAAGTATAGGAAGTATAAGAAAAAATCTGAAAACTATTAATTTGTAATTACATCATAAAGCATATAGTCTTTATACGGATTCGAATTTGTCCGTTTTTTTTTAAATAAATCATTTTCTTTGAAATTTAAAACTTGAATAACTGGATTATTTTGGACTTATTTGGAAACCGGTAATAAGAAAATATGATTCTTTTATCGAGATCTATAAGCCTGAAAATATTTGCATTTATTTAAAACTCACCCTGTATAATACGGGAATTAAGGGAGTTATAAGAAGATAATAATAAAACGCAGAACTAGAGTTAACAAAGTGTTTATTTTTCTTTTCTCAAAGACCAGTGTGTTGTTATATCCAATCTCTGACACTAACCACGTTAACGTACACTCCAGCAGCTTGATACGCGGCGCATTGAAATCCAAAACTGAAAATACCAATCAGAACTCCGTCCACTACCAATGGCCCTCCAGAATCCATTTAACAGACACCTCTTCCTTCCTTTAGACCGCCGGCACACATCATATTGGCTGTTATTAGACTACCTGGCAAAATAAGTTATTAGTTTATTAGTGTAAGAAGGTTAGGGTTATATTAGATTATTTCATGTTTGGATTGTTACCTACTATCTGTAAATAACACTTTTATAAATTCCCGTATCGATGTAAATATTGCCATCTCGTATATTAGGGTTTTACCGTAGGGGTTATGTAGTCAAAGGGTTTTACTAATATATAGAGCGGAAGTTAAGACCTTCTTGGGTAAAATATTTCAATGAACAACGGAAGAATAAATCAAGGGGCAATCAACGGTTGAATGAAGCTGAAAATGAATATAATGATGATGAGATGATTTTACTTACTTCCTATAAGATTTGTATAATACTGATCACAGCTTTCATTGCTTATTAGGGGTACCTGAACCATTTGCAATCCAAATGGAGTGACGCCACCAGATGTTAAAGTGCCCCAGCCAGTTACAGTGCAGACGGAACCGGGTATCAATTGCTAAAACACAATTTACACACATTTGACATTTACGTGCGCTTTAACACTAAATCTTAAATAACTTAAGAAACGATTTATTTTAGGTATAGCAACGTATATAATCAAAAAATAGCGAATTGAAAAGCCTTTTTACTGGTGAAATAAAAAAGTAGGTGAAAAAAATGATTTATGATAATTTTTTAATCTCTCAATTTTATATGCCCATATTGTCTGACATTCAAACAATCTAATTTTTGAAACAGATAGCCACATGTCTTCTCTTTATGTCACAGTGTCTATGGTAATCACCAAATTTGACGTTTAGGCTGTACTCAACAGTCCGACTCTACTTAACTTGAACCTCACTTAATAAGTGAGGTTAAGTGCTTTCTTTAAAAAATGGCGGCAAATTCGGCGGCGAATGAACCTTTTGTGGTGCTTTTGAAAACAATTTATTGAAAGTTAGTTGTTGTTGTAATCAAAAATTACCATGCCAAGTCCTTGTTGTGTGCCTGAGTGCAAATCCAATTATAAAACTTGTCTTAATGCAGGAGAACCAGCGGTATCTATTTTTGCCTTTCCAAAGGATGAAAACCTTAAAGCCCAATGGCTTAGAAATATTCCTAGGGAAGCATGGTCACCCTCAAAATATTCTCTGGTTTGTGCTAAGCATTTTGTAGAAAGTGACATTATTAGGGAGGAGGATTATCGCTTGCCACATAGATCAATGCAAAAGGTACCTACTAAAACTAGACTAAAGTTAAATACAGTGCCTAGTATCTTTCCAAATTTGCCACATTACTTGTCAAAAACAGTCCCTGTTCCCCGAAAAAGTCCTGCTGAAAGAACGAAAGAAATGCAAGATCGAAGTGAACAATTTAAGCATTTCTTTGGTTCTTTCAGCAGGACTTTTTCTGGGAACAGGGACTATTTTTGACAAGTAATGTGGCAATTTTTTTTTAGTTTTATGTGGCAAATTTGAGCAAACCTTAAATTAATTTAAAAATACGTGCCTCGATAGCCGGTAAAACAACCCGTCGCGCATTCGCGCACGCTAGAAACCGATCTGAATTTCTTGCCGGTTACGGCGTTGCCAAATGGTTGTTCACGGCTTAATAAGTAGAGTCGGGCTGTGGCTGTACACATTTTTTGACAGGCATTTTTTTCCTTTAAATATGTTAAATATTTTTTTTCTCAAAAACGGTTAATGTTAGGTATGGAGTGTTGAATATCAAAATTCATATAAAATCGTAGAGAATTTAAGTATGTAATAAATAAATCGGGGTACCCATTAAATGTAAAAAAAAAGTTGCTGTCAACTTCCTATATTTCCGGAAGTGCCGCCATATTGAAAATAATTTTAATCGATAGATCTCGTTGTGAAACAATGATGTGCAAAAAATCTTCGACTTTGCTATTGTAGGTCTGTAGAAACTTCTAATGCACGCTCAGCCTGGGATACTACTGTATACACTCTGTATACCAACCTGAAATATTGATGACTCTAGTGTAGCTGAACTAATTAACTAATTACTTACTGCCATTACTCGCTGACGAGTATTTGACACGCATCAGAAGATAGTTACGCAAGGCGTTTCCTGTCATGAGCTTTTCTGTGACTAAAAAGCCCGATACGTGATGTTATCTCACTTCCGCATTCCGGACATTCAAAAGTCACATTACTTTGTTGCCTCTTTACTTTTTGGTTGTCGTTATTAACTGAATTTACATTACAATTCTCCTCCATTGCGTTCTTTTTTGCGCTGCTTCCTCCCACTGATACTGCATATTTATCCCCTTTAAGTGTTCATGAAAACATTCTTGTATCTTTTGAGTTGTCCACCCGGTTTCCTCTTACCCTCTACAAGTTCACCGTAAAGAAGATATTTCGGTAGGCGGTTTTCTTGCATCCTGCATACGTGGCCAGCCCATCTTAAGCGAGATTTAGTAGCTTGCTTTTTCAAGGATTGATACGTTTGAGACATGGTGGTACCATTTGATTCTAACTAAGGTGTCTCTATTGTAACTTCCCAAGTAGCATTTTCACGACTTGCGACCACATGTTTACTAAACACAACGTTGGATTAATTACAAAAAATAGTTAGCTCCCTACCTTAGGTATTAAAATAAATTTAAACGTTTTTATAACGTTGTGCCGACGTTGGACTAGTACTACAACAAAGTAGAAGCTTCTGCGACGTCGAATAAACGTTGTCTTGTAACCTTTTTTGCTTAAGTGATCTTTAGGTGATTCGGACAACGTAGTTACAACGTTGGACAATATAGAGTTTTCCGACGTCAGTTTCAGGACCTATTCCAACGTTATGCAAACGTCGTCTGTTTTACTAATTCCAACGTTGTTTAGATTTCCTTATTCTTACGTTGGTAGGACGTCGAGTCACTACCTTTATGCAACTGTATTGAACCATAACCTTAAATCTTAAATTTTCACTTCATTGTTCTGTTCAGTCAGACAGTTCAGTGCTGTTTTTGTTTTTATAAAAAAAACTTAATTAAAATGGGACATAAGAAAGGTACATAAAAAACTAAATTTAAATATATATCGACATATATTACCGATAGTTTATCCACTCCCTCGTTTATTTAGATTATAGAGGGCGGCACAAGCTAGATTCTAGGATGACTAAATTAGGCAATCTTGCGACTAGTATACTACCTGTTAAGGCCGAACTGCGACTTTATTAGTCCAGTATGCGACTACTCGAACTACTCCATCTTAATCTCCAAAACAACAAAGTGAAAACCGCCATGTTGTTAAATAAGAAAATATTTCGTTCCTAAAATAGCAATTCCTGCTTTTTGAATCCATTAACTTGAAATATTTGACCCTAAAAAACACGCGGAAACAATTTTTTCGACTGCGAATAAATTATTTTCATTTTACTAAAAAAAAATTCAAGAAAATTTTTAAAACTTCTTTAATTTTAAGGCCCATTAGTATTTTTCAAAGTAGAAACAATACATTTATCAATAAAGTTGTTGGCGTTTAACTTTTTTGCCTTGGGTATCGAGTTACAGAGTCGGTTAAAGCGTTTCACTAATTATGATCTTCAAACATCCTCCACACTTAAATACTTTTCTTTTGTTTTCCTTCACTGCCATCTGACATATGTCTCTAACTAAATCGTAAAAATAATATTTTTACTATAATTATCCCAATTTAATATAAAACGCGACTTAGACGCCATATTAGTTTTGTATTTCTCTGAATTAGGATTTTAAACAACGTTGCAGTTTGTACTAAATTAGGCTTCTAGCCAACGTCGGTATCCAACGTCGTTTCGACCCAAAAATTATTCTCCAAACTAGTGCAGACTAGGGTTGGCACGAGGCTGTGCCGACGTTGCGCCCCGACGTTTGGTCGCGTGACACAACGTTGTCCCGACGTCCAAATGCCGCTTGGGTTGTTTAATGCGCTCGTGTGCCGGCGGTACGGCACCCAAGTTTCGCTTCCATATGTATAAGATGGTGAGGATTATTTCTGCTCGATACACTGCAAGTTTCGTATTTGTGCTCTTGAGGCGCTGCTGATTCTGTGCTGAATTTCAGAGTCGATATTTGACTTTTCCGAAATCAAACTGCCGAGGTAATTAAATTCCGATACATATTCCAATAGTTCTTCTCCGATTTTTATAGCGCTGTTATGATTTTCCGGGGAAGTGCACATGCTTTTAGTTTTATCGATGTTGAGTTTAAGGCCCAAAGTCTCGTATGCCCAGGTATATGTGTTCAGCATTTCCTGTAATTGCTGTAACGTATTTGCAACTAGAGCGCAGTCATCAGCGTATTGGAGTTCTGTGATCATACCCGTATCTAACACCCATTCCTCTTTCCTGCAGTTTGCTGTCCACTATAATAGAGAGCGCTGCCATGAATATGTTTGAATAGGAGAGGAGCTAGGACACATCTGTGCCTAACTCCTGTTTTTGTCAGGAAGGGATCGCTCAGTGATCCATGATGTAGTTAATTAACTAATATATGAAATAGTTAATTAACTATTTCATAGTGGCTTAAGCGCTACACAAAGTATATTATTATAAGTAGTATGGTCTAGACGAATAATTCATCTTTAATCAATTTTCGGATTTAAATAATCGACAATGTCAGCAGTACTAAAACAAGCAGTTCTTTCGACTTTCCATACTAGCGTATTTTAATAAATTTTGTTATTGGCGCATGACTCGTACCATTCGAAACAAATACTTAATGTAATTAATTACCTGATCTCTTGTTGGTAATGGAATGGGTCCAATAGTGTCACCAAATGTTACTTGATTGCATCAAGATTGAACATAAATGCACTATAGTCAGGATGGTCTATGATTTCGGCAATTGGAAAAACGAAACCTTCATTCTGCATAAACGTTGAACCAAATCACACTGTAAAAGCATATCGTGGTGGAGGAACGGTAAGCCTATAAAAATGATTTAGGAAAATATTAAATCATTTTGATAAAAATTACTGATTCAAATCAAATAAACTTTAAGTCACGTGATTAAGCTTGACCGGCACAACGTTGCCCACATTTATATATTTTCTTTTAATGAAAATATTTTAGGAAACAAAAATAAATTAATTATAAATATATAAACAGTTATTATTTATATTTCATCAAGAAAATTGACCTCCTTAAAAGCACTGAAAGGACATAAAAGGCCATTACTACCGCTTTCCCGTTCAAAATATTCTAATAAAGTTGCCATGAGTTTTTTTACGGATATTAACTTATCTTGTTCGCACTAAAAGAGGTTCTAAAAAGAGCAATGTTCGACTGAGAGCTAGTAAAATGTTTTAAGCTCATTATCACAACATAATTCATTTAAACCAAAAACTCGTTAATACAAAACTAAAGTGTCAAAACGAATGACAATGTCAGGAACTAAATACATAAATGTGGCAACTTGACATTTTTTTACAGCAGAGCTAGCACCTGAATCCCCAGCGGGAAATTTAAATTTCAGTTAGTCAGCTCGGCGCCGAATATGTCCATGGTTGGCAATAATAAATTTAAAAATGGCGCCCTAAATTACGTAACTAAAAGTTTAATTGGTATCAAATATACATAAAAATTAATATTAATTCAACCAAAATTCCGATTCAACAACAAAAAAAACATAAAATATATTGAAACATTTAAAAATAAAAATGATATATGGTGTGCCCAGAGAGAAAATATATGATTCTGACAGATGTATCCACAAAATGACACAAAACAATCTACAAATGAAAAAAAAATAAAATGACAGGAAATAGGCAATTATCATTAATGAACATAAATTCTTTTCCTGTACAGATCATGGTGTAAATCAACAATTTAGGCAATGTAATCTTTCCACATTTTGTATAGTTGATAAGTATCTATTATATTTTTTTTTAAATATTAATACAATTGATAAAAAGTATTAACAGTTAATTGAAAAGTGACACTTACGATTGTGTACAATGAGCAGCTGTCAAAACCCATACACTTGACAGCAAAGCTACTCCGCAGATATGCCTATGCCAACGTTAGAGGGAACCTTGATACCTATACGACGAAATATATACAGGATCTCCACCTACAATTCTAGTATCGTTGCCTATAGGTATAAATCTAGCGAAATATGATTTGGAGCCATTATCTTAAAAGAAAACACGTTTTAAATCAAACTTATAAAAAAAAATTATTCGTAACTATTATAAGCCTACCATCAAATACTGCTGATTTGATACTACCCAAAGCAAGACAGAGAATTAATATTTCTTTTAAAAACATTTTACAGGTTCAGTAAATTGAATTATATTAATTATTGAATGTAACATCGGTATAACAGATCATTTTTTATTTTGTATAATTGGCTTAATATTTAAGATAATAATGTTTTATTGATGTTTTATAAATACATATTTATGGATAGTTATAAATTTAATATTTTAAGCGATGTAGTTACGTTGGGTTATAAGTTTATTTATCAAGATTATTGTTTTCCTGGAATAGAATTAATTGTATTGTATATTATATGGACTTAATATCCAGTTTCAGTCAGTTCAAAACATTTATTTTACTATATTTTATCAAGTTAATCAGAAGCACACAGAGAGTCTAATAAAAAAAAATTGTGTGTGTACTATGTGCGCATATTTGAAGTTGAAACTTCTTAATAACAGCTATTAAATTGAAGGATTTGAAGGACATGTTTGCAAAAGTGTCATTCTGTGTGACGTCGAAGGCGTCATGCTGTAGCTCGTCAACAATTATGCCGAAATCGACCCACATTTTTCTTCAATATCACATGCTTAGTCCCACCTTGATGAAGGGGTAAACGAAATTTTGTATTGTGGGACCGTGTGCATCGTCGCTCACATAGCCTACCCACCAAATTTGGTCGCGATCGGACGACATGAACTTTTGACGTTTCTTACGTCAAAATTAACTGTCACATTGACACGTGTCGTACACGGTCAAGTTGGCCTTGGCCGAATCTATCGATAAACCTAATTTTTAATTTAGGGTGTATTCCGTTGCTTACCTTGGTTATGGTTTTTTGTTCCGTTTCTATCGGCTTCCTGAAGGTTTTCTTATTACGGAACACGGTTCCTGAAAAATTCGGTTATAACTGCCACCAAACTAACCAGTGCGAGAAGGCTGGTTTTTCTGGTTTTGTTTGTCAATCAATATCATTTATGTGACAGAAATCAAGCAAATATTGGAAGTTCGAGTGAAATTCTCATTTAATTTAGTAGGCAGTAAAGGTAAATAAATTTCATTAACTAAATAGAATGACTTTTTAGGACTATTTAAACTTATCATGCAGCCATTGTTTCTTAAAGAACACATGAAAAACAAGACAACAAGTAATCGTGAATGTTTTCTAAGCTATAAAAATATAAATATTGATTAGATTTGTTTATTGATCTGTTTTAATATTGGACCTGCAAATCTTCATTTGAGCTGCCTAACGAGTTTAACAGTTTATTAATAAAGTACTTTTCAATATTAAACTCCATTGAAAAGAAGAAGCAAATGTAAAAGCAGAGAATAGGTATATTAAAAATGCATAAAAGATACATTTTATAATTCAGTCATTGGGGATCAAAAAAGGAGCCTGCTTGGAAAAAAGTCCGGAAGTTTTGAAACTTTGCAGGTTTATAGGTTTTGGGGTCCCTAACTAAAATCCATAAAATGCACATTTCCAGACTTGCCGCTGGATTCCCCCCAGCACCTGACCAGGAGCTTCCCCACCAACGACAAGGTCTTGCATCTCCTAGGGGAAGATGACTGAACTAAATAGAGGTATTGAAATTTAGAAAACGTCAACATTTGACGTTTCCAGTATTGTACCAAACCGTTCCGTATCAAACCGATGTTTTTCAGGAACCGCTCTTTACCGTAGTTTACCGGTCTGGTTCGCCTGGTTTTGCAACGGAATACAGCTTTAAATGGGAGTTTATCATGGAGTTCATAGTGCACAAAAAGTCGTCAAAATATCACGAAAAAATGGGGCTCTTCGAGACTCACGTCGAACTCAGTGATGAGGTGTTCTGGTGTTTCCCTATTTTCACCACTCGCTTCTTAGCTTCAATCTACTTCTGAGGCGTTCGTTGAGGAGTTAAAAACTTAGGTTTATCTAAATCTAGGTTTTTAGATACTCTGCATATTATTAATGTTTCGTAAATTTTCTTCTAGAATGTATTACTAATAGTAAAACATTATATTTTTCATAATATATATAAATGTTGATTAGTCGAAATAAAGTTAATTAAATGTTGCTGTTATACTATTATCGTAAAAATTTATTTATATGTTATTATCTTCGTAACAATTAATATGAACTTAAATGAAAATAATATTTGTTAAAAGTGAATTCTAATATCCCGTAACTTAAGTACTATGCAACTAAATAAAAATGACATTATAGGCGGTGCCCTAGGAAAGCAAGTCTAGCGAATTCCTTTGGAAGTCTGAATAATCAGTATGACTTGATTATAAAATAAAAAGGATTGAATAATAGTTAATTAAACAGGTTAAGAATAAAAAATTTTATCTCTTCCAACTAAATACAATTAACTATGTTTTCTATGTTTTTGCATTTATGTATTCACAATTTTTTTACAACTATTTGTAGGTATAAGCGGTATAAGTTTATATATAAAAGTTTTGTTTTTGCATTAAACTGCATCAACTTATCATTATTATTATCATTTCTGTTTAATAAAATATAATAACAGACTATTGAAAGATAGGTTTAATAAAACCTATCTTTAAAACCTTTAACTAATAACATTCTATTCTCTGTAATGGACAAAAACTGCTACAAAGCTTTTTTATTTCCCTGTAATCCATATCATATCAATATCAATGCAATGTTCGTCGAAGCTTGAATAGTGTTATTAGAGGTGTTCAGATATTCTCATAAATATTCTCTTTATATCGATATTTGAAAAACAATTGATGAAATCGTAAATACAGACTAAGGAATCTTGATAACAGATATTTATCTTGTTGTTCGTAATATTTTTGTTATTAAAGTAAAATACAGATATGACCAAATGAACAAAACATTATGTTGTTATACCTATTCTTTTAACTGGAAACTAAAATTTTATTTTATTGTATTACTTGGTCTATGTTATAGAAACCTGTAAGTAATACTTTCAGATCATACATCTTAATTTACTGTAACCAACATTAACAGCAAGATTTGTTCCTTTTGGAGGTATTTAATATTGTTAATACTAAGGCTAATTCGACATATCTTTTTTGTGGTTCCGTAACTGATCCCTTTGAAGTAGGTATAAAGTATACAAGGTGTCACAAGCAGAAATAACAGTAATTACTAGTTCTCTTATTTTATATTGATATCTCCTTTTTCATTGTAGATTTAATGTCTGTTGGTAATCTTAAATATAAAGAACATAGGAAATCCCATGCAAGTTTTCCCCATTTTATTTTACAGAAAAATGTCTTTGAACATTTTTAAAAAGCATCACATGTGCACTACATTGCGCATTGCGCATATTTGCAGTTAAACTTCTTATTTCCGTCTGTCTGTCCATCCGTATGCCCCTCTGTCCGTCTGAGAAGTCCATTCGGGTTCCTCTATCCATGTGACGAGTTTGGTGCCAATCGACCCATAATTAAGAAAAATCCTGATGATTTCGTCCATTTAGAGGCATCGGTTCGAAACGTCGAGGGCGTCATCCTGTAGCCCGTCCAGATGACGATGGATGACAGTCCTCATATAATTTCACTATAATTTCACATATAAAATGAGAGCAATCTAGATTTCATAGCCATCGCTGACGCCGTTTTTTGTATCGTACGGTAGTTATAACATTTGTCCAAACATTATGGAATAATGGTAACCTCTGATGTAGAAATGCTATAAATATAAAAAGTTATTAATTTAACTGTTTTTACACTTAAATTTATCTTTATATTTTTCTTATGGAAGAAACTCAATCATATTCAAATATAGAATGCCACTCTCAAGAATAAAACAATCGGCCAATGTGTAGAATGTAGAATGTAGAATGAGTAAGAGGGGGGTTCACTGTGACCTTAAAGATCTATTGTGCCCCCCTTTCTTGAGTCATTATTAAAAAGTCATCACACAATGTCTAACCCATCATACCCCTGTTGTAGAGGGAACAGGGTATTTCCCATCCTCCTCTGACAACAGTTCTTCCTCCGAGGGTATACACTCTTCCACCAGGGTCGGAGTTTGGCCCTCCGTGCCGCTCTTCACAGTCGTGGAGCTTGCCTCCGGCTGAGGAACCCGTGAGGTGGAGGCTGGAGGATCTGTCTCCATTTTCTCCACCTCTTTAAGTTGGTCTCTCCTTAGACCTGATACCGGTGTTGTCCCGTATCTGTAATAGAGGATATGTCCCTCTTTCTCTATTGCCTCCTTGGATTTGATGTTAATTCCTATTGTGAGGTCCTAATCATGATCCTCCTCCCTCGAGTTGATGACTCGCCAACTCGATGTCATCACATTGAAGTTCTGACCTTGGATAAGGCTCAGCAGGTAGGTGGTGTCTTTCCTCTTGCTCATCGGCAGAAAGACCGTTATGGCCGCCCCTTTAGGGATGTTTTCTTCCTTTACTGCAACCAGTTCCGGCCCTTGCCAATTTTTAAGCTTAGGTACGATTTCCACCAACCAATTCGCAGATTCTTGAGATACACAATCATGCCCACCCGAAAGTGTATCCCCGCAAAACGAAACTGACCCACATTTTGTAGATCGTTGTGTTGCGATCCGATCGCCACTACTTCGTCCAGTATAGCCTCTTCTAGAGACCTTTGCTGGTCGGTTGTCAGAGCAACATCTGGGAAATTCTTTGGCAGGACCGCCATTTTCACTTGTCCAGCAATAGCGGCAAAGCTGGTGATACGTCCCTGCTTGCCTCCCGGTGTTGGACGGCTTTCCATCCTGGCTTTTTTCTCTCCCTGCCGGAGAAGAGGTGAGAGGTTCGCGCTCCCTCTCTTGCCCTTTGATGGAGATGAGTCAGGCTGTTTTTTGGTTTCTTTACTCTCTCCTTTTCGGAGGAGTGTTTTCGCTTTTGCTTCCTCTGGAGCAAATCCTTTGTGGAGCAGTCGAAGGTATCTCCGTGCTTCTGCTCCGCTAAGACCTCAGAGGATCGTCTAGCCCGCCTGGTTGACCCAGGCCGGGTAGACGAAACGGTAGCTTATGTCACTTATTGGGTCTAGAGGTTGGCTCCCGACCCTTGCTGGAGAAGGTAGTAGCTTGTGTGCCACTTGTGGAGGATGATCCTAAGCAAGTGTCAGCCGCCCCTCCTGTAGT